GTTAAATAATGATATTAGAAACAAAAATCGAAGAAAAAAAATGTTGCCATTATATTTCTAAGCCTCCCCCAGTTGTCATTTTTCAGTTCATTTAGATTAGGGGTGCACAACCTTTTTGAGTGAAGGGTCACTTGCACAGCAGGTAGATTAGCGAAAGGCCGCACTCATATTTAGTCATGTTAGCGGCAAATATGATGATTTTTATATATATATTAGTGTTCTAATTAAATGCTTTTAATTATTTGAATTCATTTAAAACTAAAAAACGGATACTTTTTTCAAAAAACTTTTTCCATTTTTCACAATAATTAATTTATCAAGTATATATAGATATACATAAATATTAGGGAGGATATAAATTCTAACCAAAAAGAAGCTTACAGAATGAAAGTGCAAAAAATATACGCATTTTAGAGTATTATAAATTTGAATTAATTATTTTAATTTAAGAAAATTTATTATGTTTAAGTAAAAACCAAATTAAAAGAAATTTTTGTTGTGTTTAAAAGTTCCCTCGGGCCACACATCAATAGTCTGTGGGCCGCAGGTTGTGCACCCTTAATTTAGGTAATAGGACACAAATTATTAGAAACTATTTTGTGTTGTTATTAGCAAATACTAATAAAGAAGATGTTTGTTTTAGATCGAAAGTATCAATAATTAAATTAAAAAAATAATTGAATATTTAAAAAATAGCATAAATTGCTTTTTATTTTAACGGAAAATTTACATTTCAGTGTGATGCATTTGGATTTAGAGAGCAGTCAATGAACATGCACATATCTATTGTGATTGCGAAGTTAATTTTGGAGTATGAGCAACGAAACGAAAACACTTTTAAACTTTATAACTATTCACGTGATACTTACTTTTGTAGGTAAAGTCCTGTTAGCCAGGAAAGTTCACGCTATTTTCGGCAAATGGACACTAAATCGTTTAATTCTGTAACGAGTGCATATTTATTGGGGATTAAAACAAAAAGTTTATCAATAAAAATTGGGAAATTAATGTCTTAAAATATACAAACAAAAAATAATTGGGTACGGTTTAATTGCGAAAATAACTGATTGAAAAAGCACTTTAAATTCATTATATTTTAACAAGCGAAAAAGAAAGCTATTCCAATGAAAAACCTAAAAATAAATAAATAAACGCCTATTTGTTAATAGTTGGTACATTGTTGGCAAAAAATTAGCTTCGGCACAATTTTTTGCGCTTGCCAAAAATAGACATGTTATTTTTCAGAGTTTTAGTTCACTTATCCACTTTAAGTGTGTGTCTTTGCTGATTGTCCAGTGAAAGAGTTAGTCCAAATCTTTCTCTTGGGTGCCATATGTTTTGATTTTTGCAAATTGATTTCCCGCTAACATTTTTTATTTGATTATAAATACAGATTGGCATACCGTTTATTTAGCAGAAACAAAATCCAGGGTTAAGAAGGTTTAAACCTGTTAAAAAAACCTATCTGCCCAAACTGAGTCATGGGGTTTAAAAGCATTTTTTTTTTAAAGTGAAAAATAACTAAATGTAAATTTATTACTTACTCAATTAATAAAAATAGCCACCTATTTCTCAATTTGAAACGTTACACGTAGGGGTGCACAACCTTTTTCAGTGAAGGGCCACATGCACAGCAGATTGACCAATGAAGGGCCGCATGCCAAAGTGTTTAGACCGACATATTGAAAGCAATTGTTGGTGGTGATTGTTATATAAACATCATTGTTTATATAACACTAAATTCTTTTTGTCGGTTAACCTTGTAATCTCTTTGCAGAAAATACAATACTTTAAAACGTTTAAAATTAGAAAATGCAAAACTGATTACTTAAGAAGGAAAACAGAATTCGAAAATCAGAATCAATTTATCAGAAAAAATTTAGATAAATTGAAATAATTTAAAAACTATGGAAAAATTGAAATTTTTTTTATCACATTACAAAATACAAAAGTCCATTTAAACATAGATTTTAACGTTAAATTTTTTCTTCATAGAATTAAATTTCAAATAAATAAATATTCTAGTTATTAATATAAATTCAAGTTAAATACTTTGATTTAAAGAAAGTTTATAGGGTTAAAAATGATTAAAACAAAACCCCTTAAGTGGAAAATAAGATTTAGCATTTATTAGGGAATGTACTTTAACTTTCAGACATTTTTATTTTAAATTAATAATAAGAGGCTGAGAGAGGGAAGAAAAAGAAAGAAAGAAAACACATTAAATTTTAAGGAACTATATTCCTTAATAATAAAAAACTATTAAGATACTTGTTTACAACTTTTTATGACGAATATATTTTTAACATGACACTTACTATTTACAATTAATACACAATCAATTAACAATCAATAAAATTTACATTACTTTACGAAACTTATCTTGATTAAATTTTTTATACAGTTAAAATTTAATGATATACAAATCATTTCCCAGCATATAATCATAAATGATATAAAATGCTCCAAGAAGGTAGAAAATGGTTTAAAAAATTTCTTAATGGTTATACTGTAATTTGCAAAATTTTTGAATATTGTGATAATTTTATCTACTTGATCATGTGATATTTTTTGAGCCATTAAATGAAAATGTAATGATTGTATTTAAAGACTACTCTGTAATTTTGAACAGGCCAAATTCATTCTGGAAAACAGTCTTTCGACAGAAGCTGTTGTTGTGGGTAGTATTAAACTTAGAGCAAATAACATAATCAGTTTTGGAATTTGTCCTAGATGGTGTTCTTCCTTTCTGGGTTTTTAAATCGCGGAAATACAAATAGCGATGTGTTATTTTTTAATTGCTTGAATACGAATTGCTATGTGTTATTTTTTAATTGCTTGAATACGAATTGCCATGTGTGATTTTTAAATTGCGTAAATAAAAAACTCGATGCTTGTTTTTCAAATCGCGTGAATACGAATCGTGTGGCTTTTAAATTGCGAAAGGACTACTCACAACACTTGATTTTTAAAATGCATGAATATGAATCGCGATATATGGTTTTTAAAACGCGTGCATATGAATTGCGAGAAAAGTAGCAACGGATGATATTTTAAACGCCAGAACACGAATCGCGATATGTGATTTTAAATCCCGTAAATACGAAACGCGATGGATTATTTTTAAATCTCGTTAATGTTAATACGAAATGCGATGCGCAATTTTCAGATAGCGTAAATACAAATTACGATGTATGACTTTTAAATTACATGTGACAACAAAAAGAATAGGTTCGATGTGTGTTGTTAAACTTGCACGTGTTCATGGGACTAAAGAATTATGCCGTGTTTTGAATTTTTTTTTTTGCAAAACGGACCGCGTTTAATATAAACACATCTCGGTTTTTTTTCCTGGGAAGGTGTTGATTTGGCTAAGATACGTAATTACTTTTTAAGTTACGAAAAAAAATTAAAGCTGAATCGAATTTCACGAGTTGTAATATTGTGTGAAAATATCAGGTATATTCTAAATCACAAATAAAAATGCAGCAATAACGGGAAAGAAGAAAAAACACTTTCGAAAAACCTCTTAAAAAATTCGTGTTAAAATCGGTACAACGCAAATGATAAAATCGGCACAAACAGAGCACGTAAAAAATAATTATTTTAATGCGCAATTCAAAACTCGCTTGCTGTCAAAGTATTAAAAATATCATAATCTTTTTAAATCACGGGGAAAACGTAATAACTACTAAAACAATAACCAAAATACTTTAATATTTTAGATGAAATTGGAGTAAATAAAGTCCATCAAAATTTTATGTAATTTAAATGCGAGATTTGAAATTAAAATGTCGCAATAGCGTATAAAAAATATCGGTACTTTCAAAACCTTGTAGAAATGTGTAGCAATAATTTCTAAAATAACGATTGTAAAATAATTTGATTCGCGATAAAATCGTTACAAATAAGCCATGTCAAAAAATGGTTTCTAAATGAGCGATTCTTTACTCGCGATTCGTAATAATATCATGCTAAAATATCGAAGTTTTAAAAACCGGGCGGAAATGTGCAGCAATAACTGTTGAAGAAAGGATCTAAAGTCATTTAGATTTTCCATGAAGTTTGCACAAATAAAGTGCTTCATAACTTTCAAAAATCGCTATTTCAGAAACTACTTGAAAATGGGTAGCAATAACTACCGAAAATTCATTGGAATCGGCACATACGAAAAGCGTCAAAAGTGGTAATTAAAATTCGTAAATCGTAATAATGATGTATTAAATATATTGGGATTTTTAAAACTATGCTGAAATCCGTAGCGTTAACCATCGAAAAACTACATTGAGATTGGTTGCGTCAAAAACTTAAAACTGTAAGTTTAAATTACCGAATTTTTTTTATTATTTTTCAAAAACAAATATTTAATTTTTTTTCTCATTTTGTTCAGATTGCGGCCGCGGGCCGCACATCGAGGGTTGGCGGGCCGCATTTGGCCCGCGGGCCGCAGGTTGAGCACCCCTACGTTACAGGATATTTACCTAAACTTATTTCTACTTTTAGATATGAAATATTTTACCACATGCAAAACACTTATTTTTTATACCGAAATACTGATCTGTATTTCGGTAATGGCTATTTTGATCTGTACAAGAACACTTATTTTTTATACTGGTCAGTATTTTTGAAGGAAAAACAATTAAAATATTTTTTGTTTTAAATAATTTATTTTTCATATAAATACAAATTATTTATATTATTTTTAAATTGTTATTTCTTCGAAGCTATTAAAGCAATTTTTTAAAGTTCGGATTTTGCAACAAAAAATTTTACAATAAACATATGTTCGGATTTTGCAATAAACAGCATTTTGGTAGCAGTTTTTACTATATAATCTTGAAATTCATTGATTTCTTTACTTTTGGTTTATGTCTTAATGCTTTTTTCTTTTATTACTTACATGTTCATTAAAAAAATACCATTTATATTTTGTCATTTTTCTGCAATTTTGTCTTTATTTCTTCTCTTTTTTATTAATAGTTTTGTTTGTTTTTTTGCAGATGAAATCTAGGAACTATGAAAGAGTTGAAAAGGTAATTTTTGTATTTTTTTTAAAATTTTTTTTATAAAATCTTAAATTTAGTAACTTACATTTTTTATTAAATACATGTTCAGTGTGCAAGAAACAAATGAAACACCTTAAATAACTTTTGATCTAATGATCGGATTCTCACTTATTAAGACTCAATCTTAACGGTTTTAGGGAATGTCCTCAAAAAATTTTGTTTATTTAGTTCGGAAAATATTTTAATCAGACACAAAAATGTACTTTGTCTTGACACACTTTCATTTCAACGAAATATGATTTTTGGTTCTGGAAATATCGGAGCTATATGCTTCATCAAACTTGCTAATTGCAACCCACGATCGCAAGGCCAGAAACTGGATGAATATTAGATATAGTAGGTGAATACTAGATATTCTTTCACATATTTAATTTGTAAAAATGCTAGTGTTATAATTTTTTATTAATTTTTCATAATTTCTCATCCCTTTGATAAAGAACTGTCGATTCTTTACCATTTTACTTTCCTACTAATTAAAAGCTTATTGTTCTAACCGAAATTAAGAAATCATAAGTTTTTGTACTGATTTATTAATCCTTAAAAAATAAAAACTTCCTGTATGAAACTTAGGAAATATTATTTACGAATTGTATTTTTCAATATTTAGTTTCATTGCCAAAAAAATATATTTGCCATAGCAGTTTTATTTGATTTTGATGATTTTTCAAATTCTTTTTTTCAGTTATTTACTCGCTGTCTAGTCAAAGTATTAAATATTGATCTTTGGAGAGTATATTTAAGTTATGTCAAAGAAACTAAAGGTTCTCTGCCATCTTATAGGTAAGTATTTTTATGCATATTCTACCATTGAATTCCATAATCTCATTTCAATACAAATCATTGCAAAAAATATTTTTCTGAATTCGGATGTCATGGTTAAGGAGATTTAAAGTTTATCGACTATGCCAACCGTCATCCATCAAAAGGTACCTCGTAATAGATTCAAGTTAACATGTCTTATATACTAGTGATTTGGTATTTAATATTTGTAGTGGTAGTTACTCCACATTACTCCCCTTCCAGAATTTCATCTGTGATAAAATTCGATGTACAATTACCACTAATTGATTCATGTTGTTAATATATTTAGATCAATTTTGCTCATATATTTTCTTCGTTTTTTTTTCTTTCTTTTTTTAGCATTTTGCTCATTATTTTATTTTTCCTTAATTTTTTTGTTTATAGCATTTCGCTCATTATTATTTTTTTTCTTCAATATTGCTTATTGACCGGGAGACTTTATTTATTTCACCGGATTTTTTTAAATTTTTTTATTTACTTCTTCTTTGAGCAGTATATTTAAAGCAAATCAACTGTTAAATGTGGATTATCCATCAATTTTGGCAAGCTCTTATCACGTCTGGAGGTCACCAATGAGGGGAATTAATTTTAGACTATGTCAACCTTCATCTGTCAAAAGGTACCTCATAATAGATTCAAGTTAACATGTCTTATATACTAGTGATTTGGTATTTAATATTTATAGTGGTAGTTACGCCACATGGTTACCTTTTATTGTTACCTTTATAAGTCATGATATGATATACCTGCCAGTAAATTCAGATCCTTTTATATTTTATTAGCTTTTTTTAATGAATTCTGATCTTTGTTATTGATTATTATTTATTTATCATTTACAATGTTTTTATCTTTGTTTTGAGATGATAAAATATTGTAATCAAAATTTTAATCACTTTCTGACTAACTAGACTACTCAAATCTCTACCAGACCTCCAGACTGGATGACTTTATTAGTTTCAATCATTTGCAGAGAATTATAATCAGAATTTTTTGCAATATTGTCGCCGAGGAAAAGTTTATGGTCTATCAAAATTCCTATCACTTTAAAAATAGCAAAATTTTTAACTAAAGCTTTGTGCTAGATAACATCACAAGCTTCAATCATTTTCTGACTGCTACGAACAGAATTGAACGAAAAATTATCAGTAATAGAAACTGTGACCACTTTTGACCAGCTAAACTGATCAAATTTCAACTGGAGTTTTATGTCTGGTAACATGACAAGTTCAGTAGTTTCGTGTCAGCTTCAAATACAATTTATCGCCATATTATTTCAAAATGTAACTTGAAAACTCACTTTCAGATATCAGTTAGAGGGTTTAAATAATAACTGCACCTTTGTGTGTGATGATAATGCAAGTTTTGATCATTTTCTGATTGCTACAAGTAGAGTTTATCATTATCTCCAAAATAAGTTTTTTCCATTTTTTGACTAGTGCTCTAAGTTTAGCTAAGCTCTGTGATGAAGAACAATGTAAGTTATGATGATTTCCCAACCACTACAGTTAGAATTTATTTTTTCATCATATTATTGCCAAATAAAAACAATCGTCAATCAAAATTTTGATTACTTATTGAGTACATTAAATACTCTAATTTCATTTGAAGCACTATGCCTCTATCATTACAAATTACAATTTTTTGCTGAATAGTTCAAAAAAATTCATTCCCTATCAAATTTTTGCCACTTCTGGAGGTAAACAAGATAATTAAGCTAACTATTAAAAAAAAGAATCAAATAAATACAAATTTTAAGAACTTTGTTTTCTTTCCAGTAGATTATAAAAGAGATAATAATTCAATTTTTGTCAAACATTTAACAAAAAACGTAAGATGATGTAACTTATGTAATTAACTTCTAACTTAACTTCTGCTCAAAATGTTATATAAATGGCATTAGGCAGGACATAAGTTACTCTAGGAGTTAGATACATTAGACAGTTGAAGAAAAAAAATGCATGCATTGAGTTTTCCTTAATTGAATTTACATTTTTATGAAATATTTTTATAAGACTTTTTGTAAGGTTAATAAAATATTCATTTTTAAACAGGGGGACTGTTTATTGGTTTAAACTATTTACAGCTAGAAACTTTCCTTGTCTATAACATATCCTGAAATATTTTTAATTATTTAACTACATTTATTTTAATCGATTTGTCGAATCAGATTTTATTTTACAAGATTTTATTTTTGTAATTTTATGCTTCAACTTATATTAAAAGAATGTAATGTTTTACTAAATTACATTTTTTATTTTCAGGGAAAAAATGGCACAAGCATATGATTTTGCATTGGAGAAAATGGGGATGGATATTAATTCATATCCTATTTGGAATGACTATATTAATTTCTTAAAAAATGTGTAAGTTTTGAATAACTTTTTCCATTTGTATGATGTTTGAATATTGTTAAAAAAAAGTCATACTACTTACAATAGCTTTAATACTAATGCTATTACTTTAGATAATCTTTTTATGAAGAAAATGATTAACACTGTTTTTCAAACCTCTTTCATCAAGGAAAATAAAGCCGCAGTTTAAGTATTTTACTCTAGAAAAGCAAAGCTATAATTTTAAACTATATGCATCATCTTGCAATAAAGAATTAATTGGGCTTTAGAATAGAGCCTAAATGACCATACATTAATTATTGTACCATACATTAATTTCCAGCATCACTTTTTTTAGGCATGTGATGTGCTGAAAATCAAATTATGGATTGTGGGCCATTGAATTGCATTCCATTTAATTAAGATTTGGTTTGATTTGATATATATAATTTCATTTCATTTATTTATTTATTTTTCATTTCATTTATCTATTTAAATAAATATTTAATCATATGATTCATATTATTTAAATAAATATTTAATCATATATTCATCATTAAATAAATATTTAAACATATATTCATTCTCATTTATTCATATAATTTCATTTCATTTTGATAGGTTTAACATATGTTAGAAAATTTTTAATTGACAGCATGGTAGAAAAACCATGAACAACTTCTTTTTTGTCTTAGTGTATTAAAGATTAATTTTTTAACTTAATTAAATTTTTAATTAAGTTAAATTAAAGTTAATTAATGACTTAAAATTTTATTACAGGGAGGCTGTTGGAAGTTATGCAGAGAATCAAAGAATAACTGCTGTTAGAAAAGTTTACCAGCGTGGTATTATCAATCCTATGATGAATATAGAACAGCTGTGGAAAGATTATGTTAATTATGAACAAGTAATGCATATTTTCATTAAAACAAAAATAATAAAAACTTGACAAAACAAATTTAAGTATTTACCATTGGCTGGGTACCAGACTCCTTTAAAATGGTGACAAAACTTTTAAAAGTATTAATTAATGTATTGAATTAAAGTAATTTTTTTTCTCTATATGATTTTTTTTTAATTATGTGAATTAATTAGTATTATTCTTTAATGATATGTTTTTGTATTCTATATACTCCATTTATTTGTTTACCCTAAATATAATAAAAATGTAAGTCCACCATGCTTGAATAAATGATCAGCATATTCTTGAGGCATTGATCAGAAAGTTTAGCAATTTTTGCCTAGTTTCATGTTATACCTAATTAGTGGTTAGTGCAAAAGTGGTTTTGGGTAATAGATTTCCTATCATATGTTACATTTTATATGCTATTATTAGCTGTGTAAGGCTATTTTGTACATGGCAAAGCATGGAAATATTTTTGAAAGTTAAATTTATGTATTTCAACTTTGTTTTTCTGTTATAAATTTTTAACACAAAGCCAATCCACAAATGAAAAAAAAATATTTTTCCCTTCAAAGTTTATCATCATTATAGACAAATATTACATGGTATATATATGTATTTAACTATAAGTATCAGTATTTTCACAAAAACTTCTTTTACAATATGTACTGCTATATTGATAGAAAATACCATTAAAAAATATTTAAAATATGAATAATTATTTTTTTAGATTAAAATAACCATTTTTATTACTTCTTTTTTTCCCCAATTGATTGAGATGAATGAAGTTATCTTAAGTTTAATTTTAAGCGTAAAGGACTAAAATATATATATAAAAAAAAAAACCACTAATAATAATTTCTGAATTATGATAGAATTTTTCTATGTAGTATTTATTATTTTGCTATCTGCATTGTCTGGTAAGTATAAAACTCCATTCATTAGATCGAAAATTTCTCTTTTAATTTTCTTTGCAAAACTAGTAATTAATCTGTTTAATAAAAGTAGATTTATATTTTATTAAGGTGATTTCCAGGTATATATTTTTCATTTCCTGTGAGATTTGAGATGCATTCAGGGACCAATTTACAGATTTTGAAGTCCTGGTCATACTATATTTAAACACAATGATATAAAAGCAATCGTTTTGAGAGAAAAAATTGTAACTGTTGCTTTTATATTTTTTACATGTTTTGCATTTCTAATATTATCTGAATTTTGAAAACAATTTCATCAATAAAAAGAAATTAATCAATAAAAAGAAAAGATTCCATTTTAACACAAGGCATTTAATTTTTAGGGTATTAATTCTATTATTGCTGATAAAATGATACAAGATAGAAGTAGAGACTACATGAATGCTCGAAGAGTTGCCAAGGAATATGAAGCTGTTACCCGTGGTTTGAATCGAAATGCACCCTCTACTCCACCCCAAGGTCTTCCTGAAGAAATCAAACAAGTATGTGCATTTTGATTTAAAGCACTTTTCAGTTCCAAGTCTTTTCTTTTAAGTTCATGTTGATATTTTACTTAAAAGCATCATTAATTATATTCTAATTTTGTGTTTCATGTTTTTCTTTGTTGTTTAGGTTGAACTATGGAAGAAATATATTCTTTGGGAAAAAAGCAATCCTTTACGCACTGAAGATCAATCAGTTCTCACTAAAAGAGGTATAGTTTAAAAGTTATAAAAATTATGATATTGCCTCCTTAAGAGAAACTTGTTTTACTCAAGTTGTTTAAAATGTTAGTTGGTGTTCACATATTTGAAGTAAAAAGATTAGCAGATATTGATTGTATTTAACGGCATAGAGCTAGTGAAGTGTGCTTCAAATTGTTTTTGTGGTTTGGATACTTTAAAAGGGGCAACAACAGCTGGCCCTCTTAAAGTATCTAAAAAGTTTAACTAATTTTTCTATATCTTAAACTAGATATTTTGTTCTTCTTTCTGTTATTAAACAAGCAATTTTTAGATAAACAGAATATTTTTCATAACAAACTTTTTTTTTTATAATGGAAAATATTTTTGGGAGCTTTTCTGACTGTATTTCTTATTCTAACTTTCTTGCTGAAATAAAAATCATGTAAAGTATAGATTGAAAAATCAAGCAAATTATGCAATTGTTTTGTTGTTTCATCCATCTTTTCATTAGTATTAGTGTGATCTAGTTTGATTATTATGGCTTTCACCCAGGGTTCGTTGATTTAAATCAGCTTGATTTAAATCACGATTTAAATCATGATTTAAATCAAATGATTTTTTTAAAAAAATCATTGATTTAAATCAACTAATTTTTTTTATCTATATATATTGATTTTAAAAGTTAAAAAACAGTGTTTTAAATTTTTGATACTTTTATTATTTTCTTTTCTTAGTATTAAAATTTAATTTAAATAAATTGCTGCATTAATTAATTTTAGTTAACGAAATTACTTTCTTGGTGTGTGTTAAATTCCAACACATTTGAAATTACATTTTTAAAAATCTTTTGATTCTTGAGATTGAAAGTACAGATTAAAGTAAACATTTAATGCTGTCTTAATATAGACTTGCATAGCTGTAGAAAGTAATTAATAAACATGAATTTTTTTCAAAAAATAATACAAATAATGTTAATTAAAATTCTACCTTTTGAATGAAAAAGCGTGAATTAAAATCTACATCATATTTTATTGGTGGAAAATGTATATTTCTGAAGCTTGAGGTTATATTAAAAAGAAATTACCCTAATATGCCAAAAACAGAAAAAAAAAAAAAAACGGGCTGATGAATTCAGATGTTTTTTTTCCTAATATAGTGTCATTCTTCCCTTTCAAACTCTTTCGAAGTCTATTTGATGCAGTAGGGTTATTAACTGGTATTTTTTTCTCATAATATGTTTACAGTATCTTTGACATTATCTGATTTTCTATAAAGAAATTTTGCGAAAAAAAATTCCAATGAATACATAGATTTTCAATTTTTTTTTTAGCTTAACTTATCTATTTTGATATAGAATTAAAAATGAATATTTTAATATAAAAATATATAGATTAAATATTTATTTATTTTTTGATGAATGACTACATTTATAAACACAGTCTGCTACATTTATTTTGTCATTTTAAAAATCAAGAGAAAAAAAAAAATCACAATTTTAAATTAAAGTTATGGTTTGCTAACTGAAACTTTGTTTTAATAGTTAAAGCACAGGGGTCTGTCCAAGCCGGTACCTTTACAAATTCAACTTTAGGAAAAATGAAAGAATAATCACACAAAATACTTTTTCTTAAAATTTTATTTTTGTGTCTCGTAAGAAACAATAAATCCATATTTTTACAATATTTGTGTAGACTTTTTAATATAATTTTTAATTTTCACAAAAAAGGTACCTCTCAGAAAAACCCAGACAGACCCCTGAAGCATTCTTTAAATTCTCTATTTCATCTAGTCTTTAAATTTTAATCATGCATTTGTTTCAAAATGGTTGCTATGCATTCAAAGCCTTTATAATGAAGCATTATAATGAAAAATTATTTTAGTTAGAGCTTCTAAAATATTGTTACAATATAGTTTTAATATTAATTTAATTTGATTAAACATTTATAATTTTTTTTAATCATAAATTAAAGTTCTTACAGCGTATTTGAATAAAAATCAAAAAAATCTGATTTAAATCAAAAAAATCCGATTTAAATCAAAAAAATCTGATTCTTTTGATTTTTTTTAAAAAAATCAAAAAAATCACGAACCCTGCTTTCACCCTTGCTGAAAGATGCAAACTATGTTGTCTTTGAAAAAAAATCTTGCGATTTAAATGGAAAGAAAAAGGAATATAGTTCAATGACGTAATTTTTGAGAAGAATGAATACAGCTAATAATTAAGAATTTGATGCTGCCTTATATAGATAGTTTTTTAAGAAAGAGCAAATGATTAATGCCATTAGGGCTACAGTGTAAGTGAATTTTAAAATAATCTCATTTTATACTTATTTGACTGAAAGTCATTTATTAAATGGTTATATTAAAGTTAAATTTAAGTACATTATATTACCAAATTATTAAAGAAGATGCTTGATTTTCAGAATTTTATGATAAAATTGGATTAACAACTCATAACATGAACATTTTGATTACCCACAGTAGATACAGGCTCCAATTACTCTATCTAATTGATCTACTTTTACTGAAAATTACAGCTTTTATGTGAAACCAAACAAAATTTCTGTGCCACACTTATGACTAAAATTTCCATATTTTTAATGCAAGCATATCCTCATTTTCATTATCTTCTACAGTCTATTTTGCTATGAGAATACATGTATTTTTTAACTTTTTTTTTCTTTTCAAAATTGATTTTATTAAAAGCTTTTTTTTCCCTTCCTTTTCTAGTTATGTTTGCTTATGAACAATGCCTGTTATGTCTTGGTCACCACCCAGATATATGGTATGAGGCTGCTTTGTTTCTTGAGTTGTCTAGCAAACTTTTACAAGAGAAAGGGGTAAGCATTTTTATTATATTATTTTTGAGTTATGATAATGCTAAAAAAGTATATAATATTCAAACTGATTATCCATTAATTAATTTTGTTTTGTCTTGATATTTTAACTAATGATTTGATTTTTTAAATCTTTTCATTGTTTTTTTTAAATTTATTTCAAGTTACATTATTTTAAAATTTATTTTTGTAAAATCATTTTTTTAAGTTGAATCATTGCTTCTATAATGAGCAACATTACTTTTAAATTAACTATTGTTTTATAATGTTCATCTAAAACATATATATTTTTATGAAGAATTGTGTTTAAGGAATTTTTAAGTATTGCAAAATATTAGTTTGACTACCATATGAAAAATTAATACTCAAAAGAGATTTTTATTGTTTTTAATTGTGATAAATATAAACCTCAAATATTAATTATGTAGGCATTATATTTTGAGGATAGTATTTTAATTTTTTAGTCTTAAAGCAATTTATACACCGTAAGTAAAATTTAGAAATGTTTGTCACTTATTTCTTGTAAATGGTTTTTTTAAAGGAAATTATTTATGCTTTTTACAAATGCTCTTCAAGTTTTGAATTCTTAAGCTTTTGTGATTGCTCAGATTAAATTAATAAATCCATGAACTAATGACAAATATTGCTTCAGCAACAAGTATTAATTTAAATTTACTGTTTTTTTTTTTTTTTTTTTTTTTTTTTTTTTTTTTTTTTTTTTTTTTTTGTAATATATAAATAAAATATAGCTATTCTTAATCACGAGCTCAGAAGCTTTAAGAAAGTTGGTTTAGAACATACTACTGTTTTTTTTAAAACATAATATGCAATTATATACCAATTATACTAATCAATAAAATAATTTTTTTCTTATTTTAGGACCTTGCTGCTGGCAAAATGTTTAGTGAAGAAGCTGCAGCTGTTTATGATAGGGCGACTGCAACATTTCTGAAGACTAATATGTTGTTACACTTTGCATATGCAGATTTTGAAGAGGTTGATATTATATTATTACGAAATTTAACTATTTCTTCTTCAATACTTTATAATTTTTTTATTTTTAACTTCACATACTATTAACTTCATATAGAAGTATTAGTGTTGACCAGACTAAAATTTTTTCTCTCGTGCTTTGCATTCTGTTCACAGCGTTAACGTATCGAAACACAAAGGAGTCATTCTTAGTATAAATCAAAAACTGGAAATAATTTTAAAAAATTGGAAAATGAAGAAATAGTTAAATCCTTAATGCTTGAGTATGAGATTGGTAATAAAACTGCACGACACATTATAAAACAGAAGAAAACAATTACGTTTTCTCTAATTTTTTCATCAAAATTTGTGTAAAATAGATTAATTGGGATATATGCATATCTGGGATGAAGCATTTCTTGAAAACCGCTGTTAATCGAGAGTCTACTGTGCTCAATTAGAGTTATAAAATTTCTAAAAGTTGAGTTTTTAAAATTTGTTCCTCCATAACCATTTAATTAATTTTGTTTAAGTTTTGTATTTTGTCATTTAAAATGAAATAGTTTGAAAAATATATTTGCATATCTTACAAGATTTTTTTCATTAAACATAAATTATTTTTTAAATGGAAGGATTTTCTTACATATTTAGATAAACCAGTTTTAAATTTTTGTGTAAAGTTTTTTTGATTGAATTAAGAAGTTCCTAACATATAGCTAAAGAAGCAAAAAGCCATTAAAGGCCCTAACTTTTAGTCATAATTATGCCTAAAATATGTTATTTCCCATATTTTGATCCCATATTGGCATTTAATTCATGCAAATCTGATTGTTAAATTATTCGAACAAAAGTTATTCAAGGTGGCATCTTTTCTTTTCCTTTTGGGGGGNGGGGGGGGGGGGGTACTGTACACATGTTTTTGTTTTTCTATAAGAAAGTAAATACAATTTTTGTTCAATTTTCAATAAAAATAAAAGTTTTTGTTATAAAGAAATAAAATTATATTGTGTCTATTATAATTTTATATAATTTCATCCTTTTTTAGGGACGAATGAAATATGATAAAGTTCATGCTATTTATAACAAATTTATTGAAAATCCAGATATTGATCCAACACTTGTAAGTATCTTTTTATATTTTTCTTTCAATTTTATTTTTAGACTTTTCTTCATAATATGCCATATTTCTTTTTCAGGCTTATATACAGTACATGAAATTTGCTCGCAGGGCTGAAGGCATCAAATCTGCGAGAAATATTTTTCGCAAAATGAGAGAAAATGAAAAGACAAGATATCATATATTTGTTGCTGCTGCATGGATGGAGTATTATTGTAATAAGGTAAATATTCATGTCTGAAGCATTTAAATGTTTGCTTTATAAGTCCTTCCTAAATAATTTTCAAAACTTCTATAAATTAGATGTATGTGTAATTTTTGTTGTGTAATAAAGGAAAAAGAGTATTTATAAAGAAAAATATTTATTCTTCAAATTAGTTCTCATTAAATAGTTTTGTTGTAAAATTGTCTGATAACTATTTGTTATTTTGCATTGCTGCTTGTGAAAGTACAGGAAAAACTTAACGTTTATAAAACTTTATCAAATAAATTAAGTAGTTAAAATTAAAATAATTAATAATACTTGGGTAATTAAAATGGCTTAAAATTTAATATTTATTAAATTTATATCTATAAAACTTAAGGTTGAATTTAATCATAAATAAATTTTAAAAGTGACTGAAAACTTTTTCAGTTTAAATTACTGACTGAATGAGAAGTATTGTCACATTACATAAGGAAAAATATCACATGAGGAGCAATTTTCATTAAAAATTTAGTAAATAATGGAATGAATAAGCAATGGAATAAATAAGCGATTTAATAATGGAAGAGAAATAAATAAAAAGTCAGAGTTAAAATCTTTGTGGTACTATTTGCGGTGCTTGGTACTTGATTGGTAGAAGAACATGCTAATTTATAGTTTAAAAACTGAAAATCTTCCCATTTTAAACATAAGTCATTATTTGTAATTTATTTTTAATTTTTGTGTTACTATCTGTGAAGTTTAGTGAATGAACATGTTAAGTAACTTTGTAAAAATGCTTGATTTAGCAATTTAGAAGATCTGTAATGTTTTACTGTATGTATTGAACATCATTTTTTTTGTTGTTTAAGTATAAAAACAACAGCTAACTATTATTTATTAAATAAAGCAGTTTTGAATTGAAAACATGCTTGTAAACAGATTTCTTATTCTATTGTACTTAAAGGTAACTTTATTCAACTGCACTAAAATGTCACTTAACTTTTTCTTCCACTAATTTGTTTTTTGTATTGAGATCGTAACAGATATTATTAGACTATTAATATTGCTTTGAATAATCGACGCAAATCAGCATTTGATTTTTGCTGCAATAAATAGTAAAAATGAAAAATGCATAATAGGATATATTTTTGTTTTTATTTTTTAGGACAAAAATATTGCTTTCAAAATTTTTGAACTAGGCCTTAAAAAGCATGGAGATAATCCTGATTATGTTTTATCTTACATAGACTATCTTTCTCATTTGAATGGTAAGTTATCTTATATGAGCCATAAAATGTTTGAGTATATATTTTATTATACTATTTTTCCTTGTTGAATAGAAAATTATCTTATGTAAGTTGTAGAATATCCAAAAATGAAATTTTATAGAGTACTGTAATTAATTTACGACTCATATTTTACTGGTTTGCATGTTCTGTGATCTGTTCTTTATTTTATAAGTTTTCTTTCATTTGTATTTGTTGCACTTTCTTTAGCTGTGCTGTCAAGCACTTAAGGTATCTTACCTTTTTTTTTCAAATATGCTTTATTTATTTTGTTTAAAATCATTTTACAGATGACAATAATACAAGGGTACTTTTTGAAAGAGTTCTTTCATCTGGAAATTTACCTGCTGAAAGACAAATGTAAGTATCGATTGAAATTTCTTTTATAATGTTAAATCATTTCATTTAATATATCATTGCTATCCAATTTGATCATTATTTAAGTTATTGAATAGAAATCAAATAATTTTGGAAGTATGAAGCATTAGAATTTTGCTATCAGTTACTATATAAATTTTGCTGATCCACATAATGTTTGTGTACAATCAAATAGATTATATTTGTAAAAAAAACCAATTAACCAGTGTCATATAATGTTATTCATATTATTTCATGGATACTAACTTTTTTTATTCCAGTGAAATATGGAATAAATTTCTGGAGTTTGAATCAAATGTGGGAGATCTATCAAGCATACTAAAAGTTGAAAAACGAAGAGCTGCAGTCATTGAACAGGTATGAGAGTTACTTTATATTTGTCCATGATACTTGTAAAATTTGGGATAAGTTGAGATTGAATATTTGTAAGAACTTATTTTTAAATGAATTTTAGAACTTGAAGAAATTCAACAATTAACTTTTTTTCTGCAATATAATTTTAACTGTTATAGAGCTTTTTTTTAAAATTGCCACTATTTATGCAGGTTTTTCAATGCATGCAATTTCTCCAAACCATTTATGCAGTTTTTTATTAATTTTCAAAATCAATCTGTCATTTTCAAGAAGACTGGTATTTACTATTTTGTTAAAAATTTTATCACTAATATAAAAATTCTTTTAAATTAGAGTTTTTATTTATGAATTAATTAATTTTATTTATTTTATTTTTTTAGATAGAAATTGTTTTCCATTTTCAATGATCATTATAAATGTTAAATTAAACTGAAACTTATAATTCATTTACAGAATTCAAGCATTGTAATATGTGAATAATATTAATAAATAATTTTGAAAATTTTACTCTTTCTGCTATTGTATGCTGTGAGTAATAATTTTCAATAAAATTGATTAGATTATATTTTACAGCTCAAAGAATTTGAAGGCAAAGAAACAGCCTTATTGGTTGATCGATATAAATTCATGGATTTATATCCTTGTACTCCATCTGAACTGAAATCTGTTGGTTACAAGGTAATATCTATATTTTATTTTTTTGCAAATTTATCTTGTGTACATTTTTTGAGATAAGAAATTTGAATTGTGTAAACTTTATGAAAAACGTTCTAATTTTCACTATAGTTGTTGAAATATTTTTATGCTTTACATTCATTTGTTAGAAAAAGTTTTATTGCTCAAATCATGATTTTAAGCAACTGACTTTGATTATTTGACATGCAATTGCTCCTTCTAATTTTCTTCTTCCCATCCTACTTTTTTTTCAATCCTGCTATCATAGTGCCTGTGCACCACCAGAATTTTCTAAGAGTGTTTTAATGTTATTTCTTAGTTTTATCAGTTCAATGAAGATATTTTCTACCTCAAATGAAATGAAACACAAACTTTCAACTAAAAGTTCTAATATATATGTTAATACACATCAATGTTTTCTATTATAACTATTTAATATCATTTAATAACTATTTAATATCAAAATAACTGAAATTTCTTTGATTTTGAACATTAAATTGAGTTTTGATCAGATGGCTTTCCTCCAGTATGCCTTTTTTTCTCATTATTTTGCCTGCTGTTCCATCATGGAAGATGCAGTCTAACCAAACATATATTTCTGTCTTATAAAATTTTATTCTTTTTGAATAGCGTTCTAACTTTTCAGGGTTCAATATATATATTTTTTTGTTTACTTATCTCAGATTTGCTTTATTATAATTAAGATATAAAAGTTAATTTTAAGCTTAATGTTGATTAATTTAGAAATTTGCACACTGAGGACTTATTTCCTGATTGCAAGGAATATTAACCGAATTTTAAAGTCTAAAAATATATGTTTTATTCTGATGAACATCTTTTTGATTCTTGCCAGTGTTTCATTTAATTTCAATATAATTAATGCCCTTTTTGAAAGTAGTACATGTATTCAAATGATAAAACTTTATTTTTAGGAAATTGTGAAAAGCCATGTTTCTAGTTTGCCAACTTCAATGATGGTCATGAAGGACTCTCTTTTAGATGATGATAAAGATAGAAAGCCTCCTTTTGCAAAACCTGATGTCTTAAATATGATACCCTATAAACCTCGCCAAATATGCCGTAAGTGGATGCAGTTTCAATCATGCAGTTACTCTAGTGCTATTACTACATACTTCTTTTGGACAAATTTTGTGGGAATGTATATGTGAAGGGCATGAATATGAATCTAATGTATATGTTACCATAATTGTATGCATTCCAACATTCCATAGCATGTCTAGTTCTTACATAGAATACGTAAATTTGAACAAAAAATGTATGAAATGATTAGTATTTTGCACATTGTATAAGTAATATACTTCATTCATATATGCTCATATGTCATACTATTTCTATAAAAGCCAGGTATTCGAGCTAACAATTTATAAAATCCTAACCTTTTTACATTGATGGTAATGTGTTAAGTATCTCTTTGAATTTTTGTTTATGGTTGAAGATCTAGTTTAAATCTACTAAAAAGTGAATTAATGGTTACATAATTTCATTAAAAACTATTTTATTCAATATTGCAGGATTCAAAGTTATATTGTCGTTTTTATATTGTAATGTCTTTAAGATCCTTGTTTATTTTTTGCAGCTACTAAGGCACACCCTGTTCCTGGTGGCGTGTTTCCCCCTCCTCCATCTGCATCATTTTTAATGACTTTATTACCTCCTCCGACATCATTTCAAGTAAGCTTTGCCATTTATATACACTCTATAACAAAAAAATCGACGCACCAAGAAGAAGTTGTCCGATCGAAACGAAAATTTGTGGATAGAAGACACTGTACAGAATAGTAAATGATTAAAATTTCAGAACAATTGAATTATTTATTGCAGAGTTACAGTAACAAGTTCAATAAGGTGCTGACCCGCCTCTTACCTGGATGCAAGCTGCCACACGGCGTGGCATAGGCCGATAAAGCTCCCTGATGGTCTCTTGTGGTATATCCTGCCAAATTCGATCCAATTGTCGAACGAGGTCATCAACATTCCGTGCCAGATGCAATCGCTTTCCCATCATAACCCAGACATGCTCGATGGGAGAGAGATCTGGTGATCTGTCAGGCCAAGGAAGAGTTTGACAAGCTTGCAGACAGTTCATAGCAACACATGCCGTATGTGGTCTGGCATTGTCCTGCTGAAAAACCAGCCCAGGGTGCTGCAAAAGGAACGGTAGCAAAACAGGTCTTAGGATGTCGTTGACGTACCGCTGTGCAGTAAGTGTACCTCTAATGACGACCAAGGGGGTCCGCTGTCAAAGGAAATGTCACCCCAGTCCATAATGCCTTGTTGAGGGCCGGTGTGGCGTGCAATAGTGAAAGCAGGATCCCCCCTCTGTCCTGTGTGTCTCCAAACACGTCTTTGATGATCGTCAGGACACAGTTGGAAGCGGTATTCGTTGCTAAAGACTAGATCCCCAGTCGTCATCATTGCAGCCTGATCGAGCGTCGATTCTGCGCGTCTTAGTGCGTCGATTTTTTTGTTATAGAGTGTATTTGTCATTATGATTTCAACTGCTGTTTAACTCTTATTTACTCTGCTATATGTCCCAATAATAATTTTAATTCTATGATATTGAATATACTCATAAAAAATTATTCTGTCATTTCTAGTTTTGTCATTCTGGAGAAATTAAATTTGAGTAGAGTTCCCATAAATTATCATACGACATAGCTCATGTCATTTTCATCATAAGTCTTACCGGGGGAAAAAGTCCAAATTTATTTTTTTGAGATTATGTTACAAATTTGTAATTGAAAAAAATTTATACATTCGTTAACACTTATTGATAATATTATTATCTTTCATATATAAAATAAGCATTTCTCAACTTTTTTTCCCCATTAGGAATTTTGATGGGGTGATATATAATTTAACTAAAACTTATTAATTTTTTGTAACTTTAATGGGGGCTTTTTTTTATTACCTAAAAGTCTAATTGTGAGATCAGTTTAGTAAATTAAATTGTAAATTGTTTCATTTTTGGAGCAGGCAAAAAGGGAGTTAATCACTTTTTGAACATATTTGAATCCCCACCTTGATATCATTTTCCCTTAGTGCCTGCAGATTGCATTTGAAATTTTGTAAAATTTAGACTTAGTATTATTAAAAATATGATGTTATGGATTTTTGTTTGTTTGATGCACACCGAATTCAATTTTCAATGGAGCTGTTAATATTCTATTTATTTTTAGGGTCCTTTTGCTGGCGTTGATGATGTGATGAAAGTAGTCAAATTGTGGAGACCCCCAGAAAATGGTATGTCTTGTGAACTTGTACTTTTCATTTAAAAGAAACTTCATTAATGACAACAGCAACAAATAATGACTAGAAATATTTTACTTAAAAAAAAAAAATAAATGAATATTTGAAGATCTTATCGAATGAAGATTTTAAATAATATTTTTGGAAGAAGGAAAATTTCTCATGGAGCGACTATTTTATTCTTACAGTATAAATTTATTTTGCCTTAAATTTTGCAAATGCCAGTACTATTCGGGAACTCCTTTAGACTAAAAGTCTGGTACTGTCTGTGAGAACTCCTTTAGACTAAAAGTCTGGTACTGTCTGTTGCTATGGTGACAAGAGAGAGCATATTTCTAATGGGGGTTCATTGGAGTAATGAAGGAGTCGATAGGCCTCAAAACTAAAACTCTCACGAGTACCTGTGCCAATATCAAGGCAAAACTATTCACCCCACACTCCTAGCCAAAGTGACTTACACTCGTAACCTTAGTACCCGTTATCACTCGAGACTGATCTCTGGAGGCGTTCTCCTGATAGCCGCACAATAGATAGTCGGATTTCAAATGTCAGTACTAAAAGACAATCTTTGAGTGTTTTCAAAGTGGAAAGAGATCCAAATGTATTTGGCAATAGCCTCTCTTTTTGACAGCAACTTAAAATAAGAGTGCAAGTGCTTTGAGGTTTGACGTTTTAATAACTATTCGGAGAAATAGATATTGATAGTTGCAAGTAAAAAATAAAAGTGAGAAAAAACCTTTGTATCCTATTGTCAAAGCATAAACTTTAAAGCTGGTTTGCTCCAATCCACTAAAACATTGTTGAAGAGCTTCATCCAAACAGCTCTTCATTTGTTTGTGTGAAAGATAGCATAGATGAAGATAATATAAATGTGTAAATAGTGCTGTTTCTAAAAACTTTATTTTGCAAATTTTTTGATCTTAGTTGCATTGATTTTCATAGTATCACGCTTCATGAAATTAACAAAAAAGTGGAAGATTCATTATTCTTTGACATCCATGTACCATTCTAAATGTCAAAATAAGAATTGACAATTCTGATATTGAATTAAGTTGAATTTCATATTTATATGGAGGATTATTTTCCTGTTACTGTAACGGAAAATTGATAGCTAGTATTTTATTTTAGTATGAAATACATGTATGAGGTCACCCCCTCGAGCCATTAAGAACTTTAACATACATAAACATACCTATTTTTTGATGGATATGCATTTCTGACCCCCTAACTATAGGTTATAGCCACAATCTGGGAAATATGGTCCCCATAGTTTTATCAGGAGAGCGATCCAAAGTTTGGACCCCTATAGCATATTTTGCCAGATCTCGAGAACTTTTTAAGCAAATTGAAAAATTTCTGCTCGCAATTAACAAATTCATTTATCCGAAGATAATTTCTTGAAAAATGTAACAGTTAGTAAATACTTATTATTTTTTATTATTTTATTTAACAATGGTTGAAAAATTTTGAAATTGTTAAGTATACAATTTATACATAATTTTAAAGGATGTAATTTTATATGGAAAAATTCAAAATTGCGAAATTGGTCGAATAGTACCTGAGATCAGATTTTAAAAAAGCCATATATTTAAAATTTGATATATTTAAAAGAACTATTGAACCGATTTCGCTCAAATTTTGCATTTTGCAATGCAAAGTTATGTTCTGTAAAATGATGTAAAAATTTTATACCTTACAATTAAAAATAATTTTCGACTATTATTAAACAAAAAAATAAAAAATTATAGATCTTTACAAAAAGTTATATTTTTCAGGGAATTATCTTTGGATAAACGAATTTTATAATTGTTGGCAATATTTTTTTAATTTGCTTAAAAAATTGTCAAATATGCCAAAAAACGCAAAACATAAAATTTACATTAAGGGGTCCAAACTTTGACCTGACGAAACTATGGGGAATATGTTTCCCAGATTGCGGCTAGCGCTTATACTCGTATTTTGGGGATCCGAAATCCGAATCAGTTGAAAAAAATATGTTGTTCAGAGAAAATATGTTTTTGTGTCTGATTTAGTGACTTTAAAATATCGTCTGCACTAATTAATTAGCACATTTAAGGTCACCCCCTCAAACCATCAAGATTGAGTTCTAGAACGCAAAGATCCGATCATTAGACTTAAATGTTATTCAGGGTGGTTCGTTCTTTTCCTTTTTAGCACTGTATACATATTAATCTGTGCACAAGCTTTTGTAATAATATGGTGTCCTTTTTATTATAGCTCCCCACCCTATGGAAAATGGTGTGTCAAAAGATATGGAAAAATACTTTGAGCATGCCATTAAAGCCATTTCTGGGGAAGGCAAAAAAAGAAAAATTGGTGTTGATGGTGTTCCTGAAGATAGCGATGACGAGGATGGTGGCATGGTCCCACCAGTGAAAGATGTTTATCGTGCTAGGCAACAAAAGAAAGTGAAGTAAATATAAGAATTAAAATCACAATGTGTACATAATTTTTCAACATAGTCATTTTACATATTTGCCTTCATCGCTCAAAATTGTCACACCCGGGCATTCATTCCATGTTCATGTATATTGTATTTGAATTTTATTTTGTTTTTCATGAACCGACATGTAACCCTTCATTAACTCATTTATATTGTTTTGTTATTGTTCTGTAGTTGAATGTATGATACTGAAACATTTTATTCATTTGTAGAAAAGTAGCGGATTAAATTTTGTACGTGTAATAAATTTTTTATTCTGATACTTGGTTGTATATCTTATTGAAATGACTACACCTGTACCTTTGATATCTGTAATTAGGGTAAACTCAAAATTTTGTCACATTTGTAGTACTTGTATCTTTAAATAGTTTCATGCCTAAAACATACAAAATTATAAATGATGTTGGTCAGGATGATGATATCCATGTTCACAAGTAATATCAGAACATTGTGATAATTTTTTTTATTTGGGTGTGTAAATTTTTCTTTTTCTTATGCTGGCGGGATATGACAATGCTGGAAAGTGACGTTGTTTGACACCAATACAATGATGCAAGTACTAAATGATGTTAATTTGCACCATGTGACTCTCAGATATTTTTGTAAATTTAATTAATATCAGTTTGTGAACATGTTTTTTATTATGAACCTTAAGAAATCAAAGTTATAAAATTTACTTTAGTCCTAATTTATTTTACTAGTGTTAATGCAAGTACATTAAGTAATAAACTGAATTGTTTATTTTAACGATTTTATTGAAATATTTGTTATATTTAAGTATGCACAGCTCTTAATATAACAATAAACCTTTATAAGTAATCATTTACTTACAAAACTTCTCATAATTCATTACAGTATGGATGGATGCAAGTTTATGAACAATGTCAATGAGTAAGATAGTTTATCTGCTGCAAGATGAATGCTTTAAGTTACATAAATATTCAGATAAATGCTTATTAGATTTACATTACAATTCTCTTTAGCATGGCACAAATCATTTACAAGGAAAATTAATTTTCTAAAAAATAAATAAAAGAAATTGACTAAAATATTGTTATCTTTCTAATTTAATATTCAGCACATATAGTTACACAAAAAATATCCCTTAATTTTTTTAGTATGAGGTGCGGCTTTAAAACAACCCACAACGATTAAATCACTTATTGATTGTTTTTCATAATTTTAACATAGTCTCTTTTAACCTTCATATTTGAATGCAAATTTTTCATTCTTCAACACAATGTTAAAAATTATTTTTTTGAAAGCATATTTATCCAGATTTTCTTTGCAACTTTGATTATTTCAAATCTGTTCAATGCTTTTATAGAAAAAAAGTGCGCTGGACTCAAGTTAAAAGGGGAAGTGTATCAGCTTTTATGCGATCGTGAGTCTGATTTTTCTCTGTGGCTTTGCCTGCTAGCTTTAGCAGGACGTATGGGAATGGCCTTCATGCCTTAGGTGGCCCTACCAAGGAGCTAATCTCCCAGCATAGTGTGCCCATTCTGCGAGCATTCTAGTTCAAATACTGTATTGATTTTATGTAAAACAAATTTTTTTTACAAAACCTCTTCTATACATTCTGGAAGCTTATGGAACTGGTCTAGTTTGGTTAGACCACTTGGACAAGAAACAACAAAATTGTAATAAAAAAACTTACTACTCTTAGTACATAGGCAAAAAAAGAAAATTTGATTTGTAAAACAAGTCGTAGTTTTCATAACAGGCAATGCTGTGATTTCTATAAATTAAGTTAAGCATAATATCTTTGACAAAGCATCCATCCTGATTAATCGATTTAGCACCATGTAGACTTCTGTTATGGCTAAATTATCATTGATCGCAGATTTGAAACTTGTGAAGTTGTCAAAGAAAATTCAATAAAACCATGAACATGCTTTCAAAAATGCTTTGCAGCATTGCTTCAATTAAGGTAAAGTAATGAAGGAATTGTGGAGGAAAATTATATTAAAGGGCATTATAATGAAAATATAAAATGACAAAATAAAGGAATTTTTGTTACTTATTCGATTTTTCAATGCCCACACCTCATTTTTATTCAAAAATTGAGAATTATATTAAAAATCTTTATATGCACCATATTTTCTGAGAAATTAGGAGTCCTTCCTCAAGATGATGTCGATGATAATTTGCAATGAACAGAAAATTAACAAACATCCTATTTTAGCATAAATTAAAGGCAACATTATTTATATACATCGTACGAAACAATTTGAATTTCGCATTTTTGAAAATTAATATTTTTTTATTTTAATTTTTGACTAGCTTGCCACTCTTTCTTTCAAAGAATGCTTTTAGTTTTCAAAGTGCAAGTCATTTAAAGCTCATCCCATAATTCTAAAAATTCAGAAATGAAATGGAGGTACTTTCAGAAGCTACACATCCCCAAAAAGAATAATTAAAAAAGATTGATCTCACACTGCCTGTACAGGCAGTACCAGTACAGGCAGTGTGAGATCAACTTTTTACTTTGTAATTGGTTACCTTAGCACCAGTTATCTTATTGACCTATACTTCTTTTTTATTTTTAAACTAGGTTAAAATAACTTGCTTCATACTGTTCAGGAAAAGAAAGGCCGTAACAACTTTAGGATTTCCTTTTGGACTATCAATTATGTTATTGTCCCTTTCTTGACGAATTTTGGCATTTGATGGCTAAAATGGGCATTTTGGCCACTATCTCATGTTTCTTTTTTTTTAGAATACTTATACGAGTGTAGCAGTTTCAGTTATTATATTACTGAAATTATTTTTTAAATTTATTTTAGTAAAAATGTAAGCTTGGTAGTATTTAAAAGTTTAGAGGACAATTAGTCCCTGTTACCCTTTAGGTAATCATAATTATTACAAAATCTTTGCTTCACAATCTAGCTCTTGATGGAACTAGTGGGACTTCGAGTGTGACCTCAGTCTGTTTGACATAATCTGAACAACTGAACTAGGGTTAATTTTTTGTTGGTAAATACCTAAAATAGGTTTCTAAGTTAGGATATTTTGAGTTGTGTAGCTTCTGCAGTAGTTAAGATTATTTTTCTTTTGCCAGCAATAAGGTAAGTACTTCGGAGTGAGATTATTGAGTTTTATATCCTAAAAGTGATCAAGATAAAGAGGGCTTAACCTCCTTATCAATCAAAGGCTGATCATCACTTGTTGTGCTGTTTGTGCCACACAGTGGCATTTGTTGTAACACAACTGGGTCCGTGACACTATCTTCATCATCCTGTAGTCTTTGATTTACTTTGCGCCGGACAAGAACCTTTGTCCTTTCGTTGAGGACATCGTCCTCTTCGTCAATATCTGCATCATCTGCTCCAGATGAGGCCTCATCACCACTGAGAGCCAGTTTGCCTAGTGATCCGTGAGGTGACCACATGGGGGTTCTACTGGAGTCAGGGGACCTGTTCATTATGGTGGCCTCACTTCGACAGTAAGGAATGGGCCTTGAGGTGCATGGGTATGGTGTCAACTGACCGCTCTGACTTTTGTAACACAGAACTGTTTTCTGACTTGAATTCTGTGTGCTTTGACTAGACAGGGATCTTAGGAAATTAGGCAAGTTCTTCAGGGAGATTTTCTTGAGGGAATTATCAGAGACCGCTTTCCGCTGCCTCGAGAACAGTTTAAAGTCAATCCCCAGGTTGGACATACTCCGGGATTTATTTTTGGAAATGTCGTCACTGCTGACGTGTACAGATGGAGATACTCTTGGTTTGTGGTGATCTTTGCGACGTGGTGCTGATGCAGTGAACCCTCCGTAACGAGTTGTAGATCCACTTGGTCTGGAAAAAAAATGTTAACAAGGAGAAATTGCATAAAAAGAACTACACAAATTTGAGAACAGTACGGCAGGACGTATTCGTTTTGTTCATAAGCAGTATTGGAAAATCGCACACTAAACTATTGTGTTTGCGATCATCTCTATAATCAACGTGAGAACAGCAAAAATGTTTTTTTTTTAAATTAATTGTGTTGAAACGAAATGTTAACAAGGAGAAAATGCATAAAAAAGAACTACACAAATTTGAGAACAGTACTGCAGGACGTATTCGTTTTGTTCTTAAGCAGTATTGGAAAATCGCACACTAAACTATTGTGTTTGAGATCATCTCTATAATCAACGTGAGAACAGCAAAAATGTTTTTTTTAATTAACTGTGTTGAAACGAAATGTTAACAAGGAGAAAATGCATAAAAAAAAACTACACAAATTTGAGAACAGTACGGCAGGACGTATTCGTTTTGTTCTTAAGCAGTATGGGAAAATCGTACACTTAACCATTGTGTTTGAGATCATCTCTGTAATCAACGTGAGGACAGTATAACAGAAAAAATGTTTTTAATTTTTTTATTTTATTAACTGACGTTTTTTTAATACTAAATTTGAATAAGTTTTAAGCTCTCACTCTCTTTTTTTAAATGTGTGCAAATGCTTTTCCTTATTATTTTAATTTAGTCTTTACTAGACAAAAAACAATCATTTAACTTTTCCTTATAAGTCGCAAACTGGTTTCTACCTGAACTTATGAAAATAGTTTACTGGAGGGGCCTAAAAGAATATGTATTGGTGTTTTTTTAATGTTTATTTTTTTATTACAGTTTGATCAGGCATTTAATTTTTAAGAAACCTTATTTGTAAGTGTGTCGAATATTTTAAGCAGCAACTGACTCCATTTAAAATAATTGTACTTAATGGGAGTTTTTCTTGAATTCTAGCTATGCTGCGACCAGTAAAGTGCTTATTGCTTTACATTTGAAATATTTACCGTTTTGAGTTTTGCCTTTGACACGAGTTTTATCTTCATTTACATTTTTTATTTACCTTGAGTTACTCGTACATCATAACTATTAATTGTTTTAAAAATTTACTTGAACTATGGCAGTTTTTGATGCTTAACTGTTTCTTTATAACAAAAAACTACTTCCTTATAACATATTACTTTATAACATTTAGAGATTTTTATCTCATTATTTTGCTGTTTCTTTACAAAAAAATTACTAATCAAATATTTTATAAACGCTTGTTTTCTTTTCATAATTTGTTCAATATATTGTTATTAAAAATTTTATATTTTCCTTTTAAACAGCGCCATTTCTACTTTATTGGCATTTTACTTACATAAGTTTCATGAAGGCAACCGTAAAATTAAATAAATGATGAATTATATGTTGGGTTTAAATGTAACCAAAGATTTCAAAACTTATCACTGCTAACAAAAAGTGCTAACTAGCGGAACTCCTTTAATTCTTCTACGGAACCATAGGGTTCCACGAAACACCTTTTGGGAACCACTGAGGTAAAGACTACTATTGTCTTTTTTTTTTTTTAACACTGGATTGCCTAAGGAAGTCATTTTGACTGCTTTTAATTTCAATTAGAAAAACAAGGACGTATATAATGGCACAATTTCTTAGAATTTTGTGACTTTTTGTACAACATATAATTTACTAATAACTTGTTATATAACTGTAAATAATATAAAAAATTTTACAAATTAATTTTGAACAAATTTATTTACGCATTCACAATCCAGTCATTTTGACTGCTTTTAGGCTATATAGGTACATACTAATTTTGCGTCTTTCTAGTGTTAATAACGGCAGGCACTGAACTTTCGTTCTTCGCTTAAGAAGATGCCGAAATTTAATTTAAAATATGAATTTATACTTAAAAAGGCAGATGGCGTAAATCTTTATTTAAAAGCATTTAAAAATAAAACCAAAAAAATAATTGACGCAGGTTAAATTTGATTCAAAAGTAATACGATAAATGTTAGCAAAATGTACCACTCCAGATTAATTAGTCAAAACAGAAACTTTCGTAAATTTTTAAGGATTTAAAAAAATAGTATGCATTTATGTAGTAAATATATGCATTTATTTAATAGTATACATTTATTTAATAGTAATATTCATGCAGGAATTTCTGCAGAGTTCCTTTGCAGACAAATTTCGTCCCACCATCTCGCTAGTTTTATTCTTTTTTTGGTACAAAGAGGTTCATAACTAATTAGCTTGGATGGCCATGAATAATAAAAAGTCAAAACTTTCATATAGTATTAGTTTCTACTAGTAAGTATTTATTTTAAGTGTAAAAAGCTTAAAGACTAATTTAAAACAATAGGAAAATGTTTACGCAAGCTCCGAAATTTTGCAACAGTTGTACTTATAAAAGTATGAATGTAAGTGATCCCTATTAATTAAAAACGGTTTATAAAGTAAGTAAACAGATTTTCACTTTTAGCAACAGCCATGAATTTTAAATACAAATTTTCAATAAATATTCCATAAAATTACCTTGAGACATTAACACGATTTGTTGAGGTAGGGCATTCTTTTTCAATGAGAGTGGAACATAGCAAATCATAATCTTCACTTGGTTGTTCAGATAGTGAGGTGTCGGCTGTTTCTTTGCCAGAGTCTGTCTTTCTGTCATCCGTGGATCTATCAGTGGATAAGGCTTGATCATCTTTGGATGTGTTCACCTCGCTGCTATCTTCATGGCTTGTTTCAACCAAACGATTAAAGAAGCAGTTGAACTTGTCTTCCAGTTCTTTGCTCTTGAATCTGCCAGGAGTAACATAAATATCACTGAACACTTTTGACACAGAATTTTCACACTTTTTTCATTATTTTGTATAAATTTTGGTTAAAATAAGTGAAAAACATTATATGTAGCTTTTTAATAATTAGTGGTTATGAAATGCAGTCGGACACCAATTTATCGAATTCACAGGGACCGAAAATATTATTCGCTAAATCGGGGATAATTCGTAATATCGGGGGCAAAATAGAAATAGACTAATCTTATGGAAAATTAGAACATCTCTAATGACACGAAATAAATAGAAATCTTACACTTTTTATTCAGGTACTTAAAATACAGCGAATGATTACGCTCTGATTAATTTGAAATTTTAAAGCATTTCGTGAGTTTGTTTATTACCTGCATTTCTTACTTTAAAAAGTTCTTTCTTGACGTCATGAAGAGAAGAAAATACTCCTTCTTAAAACATCGTACTGCATTAGGTAAGTTTTCGCTGTTTCCAAACCTTGCAGAGCATCAGAAATAAGTTACAGTTTTTACTGGAAATTGATTATCATCGACTTCTGTGTCAGAGTCACTATTCATTGATTCCTATAAAACGACTTCATTAACTTCGTAAAACTCGTTAAATAGCGAAATTCGGTAAATAGGGGTTCGTTAAACTGGGGTTCGACTGTACAGAGTGAAACACCGGTTGTCTTTTTCTTCGATAAAGGAAAAATCTTCATGACACCGCTCATTTCCAAAAAATACATTTTTAAATTTACACTTATTTGTAGTTGATTTAAGAGAAACAGTTATTCTTCGTTGAATTTTTTTTAATTAACAAACTCAATTATTGATAAATTTTTAAATCTGAATCAAAAAACAAATTAAAACTTTCTTTTTGGATTTTAAATTTTAGTAAAAATTTTACTCCGATGATCTAACAGATTTTTTTAGTAGCTATTAGACTGTTTTTAATAATTAAAAAATACCAATATATACTTTTGCTTGTAATTAGAGCGTCTGAAAAAAATGTATAAAAGGGTCACCGGTGTCTTATCTGCTCAAAGGGTTAACACGTTCAGCATTATGTTTTTCTTTTACATTATCTTTTTAAACTTCACTAAAAGGAATCTATGTATTTTCTTGACTATTAGATAAACGAGCGAGCACTTTTTTTCCAGTTTGCAGTTTCAGACCCATGTGTCATTGGATACATGTTTTGAAATTTTTTTTTATAATTTTCTGCTTTCTTATGTCATAAAATCCAAGAGGAAAACTTCACAGATTATTCGGAAAGATCTTTTAAGAATTGTTTGCTCGACCCCTCCCCGGGGATTTAATGGTGTAATTTAGATTATTGGATGGTTATTATTGTGGTTAGGAACGTGTGTCAAATGATACAACTGTTTTAAAATCGTAAACACAGAGCCCTCTTTTCAAGGCCCTAGACTTCAAGGGAAATAGATCCCTTGAGAAATTCCATATTAGAGTTTAAGAAATTAAGAAGTTCCATAATAGAGAGTTATAGAATGGACAACTAGTCAAATTTTTATTTTGTGAAGTAGCTAAATTGACTGTTAACTGAGCTTAAGCTAAAACGTAAATAATTTCCTCATAAAAGCCACTTTTTTTTTCTGAACGTAAACAAAAACCAGTTTTGAAGAGTGATAAGGGATTTTCCCTTCCTCATAAATACACAAAACAAAGCTCGTTACATAACAGAACCGATTGAACCTCTTTTCTTGTTTCCGAGATCGCCTTACTTATGATTCAAACATAAACATCAAACCAAAATAGTTAAGAGGCTCCACCCCGTTCACGCGGTGGATAGTCCTGCAAATATTCCATCAAATATCTATCTTATTATCTGTCACACTTTGTATAAGAAAGGCAAATATCTAACCTTAAGGAAGGGAGAGTCTCTCTTCTGCCACAAGTTGAACAAACTCCTTTTTTGGCAGTAGGGACAGGTGGCAATTGATTTTTCCTCATGATTGCCATTTCTGTTGGGCCTCCCCTGTACATCGATGGCCTAGGAGGATGAGAGGCCTCTTCCATTATAGCACCTTGACGACACAACCGCGGCTTCTCACGAAGATTGGCAATGGTAACTCCTCGCGTGAATCTGTTTTGCAATTCACCGTTGGGACCACCTATTGCTTTCCGATAGCTGGTATTCAAAGCAGCACGCTCCTTAATGCTGGAACCAGGCCGAGAACTAGAAGCATCGCTACTTACACTAGACCTAGAGAGCCTAAAATTGGGAAGAAGCATTTAATACAGAACAGAGGCTATACTAAGTTAAGAAACAGAGGCTATACTAAGTAATGAAATAAGCAAGTTTATAAAACCAATTGAACATGTTTCAAGTTAGTTAACCGAAATGGGAATTTGAAATATGGTCTTCGGCAACAGTACAAAAAATTTTAGTTTGTTATAAACAATTTTGTTTAAGTTACTAACAGGTTACTTTATTCAATGGTTAGCGAATTCACTTCTTCTCTTCTTTCTCTCCTGATTCAGTCATTCATTCACGTGCGAAATCAAGAGCCATAGGTCAATTCGGTACCTACACTTCAAGAAGAAGAGGATCACTGATACCCACACCTGTGACCTATGATATCACCTATCATGTTTATAAGCAAAATTAAAGTTGAGTTAAGTTTCTCCATACAAGTTGGAATTTTAATTAACGTGAAGTTAATTAAATAGAGTGCCGTATCGCACATAAAATTTGTTGGAATAAAACTTTTTCACGTCTACGTCATTTACTTAACTTGCATTTATTATTTATTTATGTATTTTATTGTAACCGGATTATATTTTTGTTTTGTGTACCTGGCAACTTCAATGCATAATTAGTTTATGTTCCACGCAGCTTCGTGCCTGTCTTTACGTTAAATAAGAAATATACAGTGAAAGTATTGAAATCTTTGTGAAAGAATCTTGGTAAAAGTATATAGAATGCGTCACTTAAGAGAACCTGATGGGCTTAAGTTACTCGAAATAGAATGGAAAGAACAGTTGTTAAAGTAAACAAATGTCACGTTTCAACAACCAATCGGGATCGAGATACCAACAGTACGTCACGTCAGGTATCCCATTACAATATATTCGTTAGTAAGCTAAATGAAAAGCAAACAAATTATCTGTCTTCATAAAAAAGGAAAAAATAAGACATTTGTTTAATGTTATATGACAGTTGAAAAGTACAAAATAATGCTACATCAAGAATCTTTGTACAAACGATCGCCATAGTAAATGACACTCGTCTAATATTAATAGACCTTGGCTTAAGACCGTGTCTCTCTACAGACTGAAAAAGATTTATAATCTTATGCCAATGAACTTAGAAATAGCTAAAAAATAGCTTCATAAATATTTTAAATAAGTGCCGATTTATGTCGAGAATTATATCATGGTTTACTTTTACCTGAAAGTTGAAGTCGAAGATGAATCTTGCCTGCTGCAAGAATTGCTGGAGTCTTGAGATGATTTCTGCGTGCTTCCTGTCCAAGAATTTCTCCGCGCACCTTTTTCCAGCAATCGAAGAGGAAAATTTCCTTGTCTCCAACTGTCCGAGCGCGAAGAAAAATTGTCACTAGAAATGCTGGAGCCTCTCTTTTGCATGGGATCCGGTCTTCCGCGACGTTGTGCGTACGCAGCCGCTCGAGGATTGGGATATTCATTCATATTGGTTTCTCTTCTAGTAAACTGAAACATTAAATAACGTCTAGCTAAGCTCCTCCAGCGAGCTTCAGTCAAAACAGGAGTTTCAGAGTATTTGGCGGCATAGGAAGCTTTTATGTGAGCACCACACTGACACACTGGTTGACTATCATAAGCTGCTTGGGCGCCACCACTCTTTCTCTCACCAGCTGAATTGGTGTTAGCTGGTGTATGTCTGTTTGAGAAGTTCGAGCTGTGCCTGCATCGGCCTATACCCCTGGTCACCCTAGATTCTTCTATTCGTTTACATATCAAAACACATTCCTTCTTAAACTGTTTCGTGAAAATGGCGTACAAAAATGGATTGGCGCAACTGTTCAAAGGTAAGACAAATATTGTAAACACTTTGGCTTCTTCTAGAGATATAAGATTGGCTCCAAATACTGCAGTCAGTGAAAAGAAAGCAATGGGAGCCCAGCACATAAAGTCTGTTATCACTAATAAGGCCATCCTTTTGGCTATTCTGGTGTCATTGGAGTTCCATGCCTGGGAGCCCCGTATGACCCAATACATTTTGAGGTAGCAGCCCATGAGAGTCAAAAAAGCCACGCCATTAATTAAAATGAGGAACACAACGTAAGAAAGTGACCATGGGTCTTCGGTTTCGAATGGAAGGCATACAGCAAATTTGCGATAATCACTAATTCCAAATAAGGGAAGAATAGCCATCAGTAGTGCGAAGGTCCAGCCTGCGCTCATGATGTAACCAGCATGTTTTAGCGACAATCTTTTGTTTAAGTGCATTGCGTGAGTGATTGCATAGTTCCTTTCCAATGTTATGACAGCTAAAGTATACACAGATAGTTCACTGCTTAGAACTCCAAGAAATCCAGCAATTTGGCAACCGGAGGACATCTGCCATTGGATGGCATACACCTTAAACCAAGATATAACATGTCATGTACTTTTATGAAAAAAAAAAAATGGAAATACAAGATTTTTATACAGATGTTTTACAGAAGTGTCACATTTAATATAAATTTATATTAAACAACGTAATATTCAGCATCAATTTACATCGTAAAGCAATACCAAAAACCAATTTAAGTAAAAACGAATAATAATAGATTTTTTTTAATAACTAAATTTGTGCTAGCAATTAAAAGTTTATATCTATTTTTACCACCGAGTCGACTTCATTGAAAAGTAATCTGAAACCGTATAATGCATAGCTGTGAGAACGAGAGAGAGATACAAGATTTTTAAATGTAACTAGATCAACCAAAAACACAATCACTTCAACTTTATAATTAAATTTTAATTAACGTTTAGACTAAGACACTAATTTAATTGAATTTAAAATTAAATTATTTGAAATGCCCTTACCCTAAATTCTCCAAGAGTAGAGGCATCTACCACAGCCAATATGCCTAAATAGATTCCCATGAAGAAGTCTGCCATAGCTAAATTACAGACCAAGAAGCGCGGGACATCTATTTTACTCCGGCCAAACAGCAGAACAACAACTACAACTCCGTTGCCTAACATGGCCAGTAGGAAAACAACCCATACTCCGCATCTTAAGCTCCACCATCCAAATAGATCTTCGCAAGGCATAAAAGGACCTACAAAATAGAGCAATACATTATTTGCTAAGTAAAATAAGCAAATTATACATTCGTGATTGATTTTTTAAGCAAACAATTTAGGCAAAAATCTAAAAAAATTGTATGCAAAATGCCAGACAAAACTTTTAGATCGTTAAATAAAAATTTTGAGTTGGTCTTAATATGAAACAAAACTTCTAGATCGTTTAAAAAATGAAAAAAAATTAGGAGTTTGTATTAACGTGAAATAAAGCTTTTAGATTATTAACAAAAAAAATTAAGAGTTGTTTCATATAAAACAAAACTTCTAGACCGTAAGAAACTATAAATTATGTCTGGTTAGTAAATGATTGATGACAGACAATCTATAATCATCTGACTTTGGATCATTCAATAAAAAAATAGGAGTTTGTATTAACATGAAACAAAACTTCTAGATCGTTAAATAAAAAAATAAAAAATTGGCGTTTGTATTAATATGAAACAAAACTTCTAGATCGTTAAATAAATAAAAAAAATTAGGAGTTTGTATTAATATAAAATAAAACTTCTAGATCGTTAAATAAAAAAAAAATTTGGAGTTTGTATTAACATGAAATAAAACTTCTAGAACATTAACTAAAAAAATAAAAAAATTAAAGTTGTATTAATAAAAAACTAAACTTATAGATCGCAAGTAACTATAAATTATGTCTGGTTAGTAAATAACTGATAACAGACAATCTATAATCATCTAAATATCTAGACCATCAAATAAGAAGTAAAAAATAGGAGTTGTCTTAATATGAAACAAAACTTCTAGATCGCTAAATAAATAAATAAAAAATTAGGAGCTTGAATTAACTTGAAATAAAAATTCTAGATCACTAACTAAAAAAATTAAGAGTTGTTTCATATAAAACAAAACTCATAGATCGTAAGAAATTATAAATTATGTCTGGTTAGCAAATGACTGATGACAGATAATCTATAATCATTTGATTATCTAGATCGTTAAATTAGGAAAAGAATAGGAGTTTGTATTAACATGAAACAAAACTTCTAGATCTTTAAATTAAAAAAAAATTATTAGAGTTTTTTATTAATATGAAACAAAACTTCTATATCGTTAAATAAATAAAAAAAATTAGGAGTTTGTATTAATATAAAACAAAACTTCTAGATCATAAGAAACTAGAAACTATGTCTGGTTACTGAATGACTGATGACAAACAATTTATAATCATCTGAATATAATCTTAAAAATGTGTTTATCCCCTAGATGATTGAGATATTTAAAAAAAAAAATTGATCTGCATAATTTGAGGGTGCACTTCATTTACAATACATTCATCCTGCGTTGTTAATGAGCTAAGGATATTTGAAGATTAAAATGAATATTGAGTTCAATAATGCAAAAACCTGACACGCACAGCCAGATTAAAAGGGGGACAACTAGGGTTGTAGTCTCAGGACCTATATTTTAAAGGCCCTCTTAAAGTGATCTGTAAATTTATTATAGTTATTATTATTATATTCATTATATTATATATTTATTATATTATATAATAATTATATAATATTATATTATATTTAATATATTTATGATATTATATTTATTATAGAAGTTAAAATAGATTTTTTGCAATTTTCTAAAATTTTATTAGGTATTATCAATCATAATTTGAACAATCTTCTTTAGAATCCTTAAAAAAATTTTATAATTTTTTAATGTAAAATTCGGGAAATAGGAAAAAAAATTATGGGATAAAAATTATATTTGATCGTCCTTTTGGTCTTCACCCAATTTCCTAAATCTATCTATTATCTTCTTTTTCTTTAGGTTACAAGTGCGTGGTTTGTCTAAATAATTTTCTGTGAATATCTACAAAACACTGACATTTTCCTCTGGCCAATGGTTGGAAAAAATATAACAAATTTAGTAAAAATGGAAAATTCTAATTTGCTTCTCTAGAATTTAAAAAATATGTGTTTGATAGTTCTTACTGTTATTATAGGTTTATAATTTTACACTAGATATTTTTGTTAGTGAATGTTAAATACTTAATATAATGTTTTTTAAAAGAATTTAAAATCTCAAAAAGCTTTTTTTTGGTTAAATTTTTATGAAACAATCAAGCCTGACACCTGAATTTATCAGATGCTGAATTGCTTAACAACGGGTTTCAACAGGTTTTTGATAATTTGGTATAGGTAGGGCTCTAAGCTACGCATTAGCCCCATGGTCCCATCATACTTTAATCTGACCCTGCTGACACAGTAATACTGAGCCAAAGGCAAACAACATTGCTTATTTTAAAAAACAAGATCAAACCGTGTTCTAAACTAAGCCTGTTACACAAATCAAATATAAAGGCGGCAGGTAGTAAATAAAAAATCAATGGAAGAAAATCACTAGATAATCTCGGTTGTTGCATAACCTGTATTTACCTAAATGAGAAAAATATCACTTGACGGTTATCAAAAGGTACCGATAATTCAGACGTAACGTAAATGATACGTTCATTTTTATAGTTTATGAATCTCTTGCTAAATATGTTCATACATAATTCTAATAATTTAATGTGAAATTATTTACTTTGTTCACTTAACTCAAAGGATACTTATTTTAAGCTATAGTGTGGCATGATATGGTTCCCACTCATTTTCGAGAAAAAAATTCCCCGACTTTTTCAGGTATATCAGAAAAATTTCAGTGAAAATCAAAACCATATTTTATCCATACCATGCAAATTTTTCCTCAGACAACTTTGATTTTTTACTTCTAATGTCTAATACTAGATTTTGTGAAATGTGAAATTTTTACAATAAATAATTGTTACAGATATATTTCACTCGAATCTCAATAACTGATTACTGTTACTGACACTTCTGAGACTGGTTATTTTTAAGATATAATGTAGTTTTCCAGCTTTTTTTTCTTAAATTCCTATTTTCCGTGCTTTTTATAGGCAAAATTAAATTTCAAGACAATTCCAGGTTTTTCCTGCTGTTCCTGACCGTGCATGATGAAATCTGATTGGAAATGTTACCTGGTTCGGGTAAGCACTGAACAGGTTGTTTGTCATGACCAGCATTATCGGGACCTTGGCTAATCTTGTAATCTTGGAAGTACTCTTCTGCAAACTGCGCTAAATTATCAGGAATTGTATAATCTCGACCAAAGGTTTTCCATAATTGACTAGCGAATTCCTCGAACTTGGAGGAAAAATTTTCTATGGGAAGAGAGAAAAAGAAATAATACAATTAAGCAATTAAATATTTTAAACACCATTGAGTTTATTGATAATGAGCTCTCATTGACTATCAAAACCATAAAGATTGCAAGAGAGATAACAATTTTACTCGCTTAATTTCTTACATAAAATACTAGGTTTAAGCAAAGTTGTAAGATAAAAAAAATTATTAATTAAATGAAAAAACAATTTCAAAATGGCGTATAAATCTGAAAACGCTTGCAGTAATGAAGAAAAAAAAGTTTTTTGTTGTTGATCAAAACTGATGCACAGTGCGCAGAGTCAAAAACGAACCACCCTGAATATCAATTTTAAAGTTTTGAGATTGTGACATCAAATATGTTAATTAATCAATCAATACTGACGATATTTTAAGTTACGAAATAAATACAAAAATGTACTTCCCTGAATAAACATACCTTTTTTTCGTCAGATTCGGATTTTCTATTCCCAAAATATAGGGTTAAGCCGCAATCTGGAAAATATGATCTTCATACTCTGGTCAGGAGAACGGTCCAAAGTTTGAACCCCTTAATGTTAATTTTATATTTTACGTATTGCGCCATATCTCGAGAACTTTTAAAGCGAATTGAATAATTTTGCATACAACTATAAAATTAGTTCATCCAAAGATAATTTCATGCAAAATATAACTTTTGGCAAATATTTATTATTTTTTATTTTATTTAATAATAGTCGAAAAAAATTTGAATTTTAAGGTATGAAATGTTTTACATCATTTTAAAGGATGTAATTTTATATGGAAAAATACAGAATTTGAGTGAAATAGGTTGAATATTTCTCGAGAAATCGAATTTTAAAAACATGGCATCCTGAAAAAATTCAATTTCTCATGAACTATTCGACCGATTTAGCTCAATTTTCGTTATTTTTCCATTTAAAACTACATTCTTTAAAATGATGCAAAAAGTTGTATACCTTACAGTTCAAAGTTTTTTCGACCATTATTAAATAAAATAATAAATTTTACTATTTACATAATATAACTTATACAATTATATTTTTCATGGAATTATCTTTAGATAAACGAATTTTATAATTGTGTGCAAAAATGTTTCAATTCGCTTAAAAAGTTCGAGATATGGCGAAATATGCAAGAAAAAAAATTACATTAAAGGGTCCAAACTTGACAAAACTATGGGGACCTTATTACCCAGTTAAAAGTTATTCAGGGTGGTCTGTTTTTTATTTTGCGTACTCTACCATAGAGAACAAGTAAATATATAATAAAAAGTCATTTATTAAAACTAATGATAGACGTACCAATATAGCTCAACATTTGTCGTCACAGAATTGATAAATAATGGTCATAACAATTTATCACGAGCAACTGAATAGTCATTCCTTTATGTTATTATTTCCTTTATGATCGCTTTACTAAAAAAAATTACTTTTATTCTAAATAATATTATTTACAATTAAAGTAATATGTATTTCATAAATCAGGCTTTATTGCTTGGAAACAAATGTTAAAAAAGTTCATTCTTTTTTCAAGCAATATTTTTAGCATTTTAATACTCAATTAAGATTTGGGAATATGACATGATTTAGAAATGGCTACAAAGATTTTATTTTATTTCGAGAAACATAAATTTTAATAAAAATCTTAGCCTATATTTAATATTTTTTAATATTTATGATCGGAGGACAGACAGTCATTGAAATCTACAATTGAGCAGCTAGTCCCATAAAAATGTGAGCTTTTCAGTAATATTTTCAGTTCGATATGTAAGAAAGAATACATTTGTCTATTGGCATTACTTGTATAAATGCTTCTTTACTATTCGTAATGTTTATAATAAAAAGCAGAAACAGGCATTAGCCTTAGAAAAGTTTTTGACTAGGAAATTATATAATTTTTTGACAGGAAAACTTTTTTTTTTTTTTACTGGAATATATATTGCATTTTTAGCTGACTAGAAAAATATTAAAAGCAATAAAAAATATTGTACGTGCCACATGAATGTCATTAGTTGTGCCAATGAAGCTAAATGGCTTGAAAAAATGTAATATTTAGTTATGATAAAATTATTGACGTAATGAATTTATCTTATTTGTTCCGTCGCTTTTCCACTATAAATTTGGATTTTCTTAATCTAAATTAAATATCTGTTGTAAAGAAGAGATTACATATTTAGTTAGAGTTCTCTACGATTTTCTAAAAAAGTTCTATTAGAAATTCTTATAACGGATAGAGTGAAATATAGCGCGGCACTATTCGAAAAACACTAACAAGCAAACTTTTATATACTAGTTGATAATTTTCTCGCAAATCCTCAACTTTTTTATAGTCATCAGACGAGATCTGCTCAAATACCTCACATAAATTATCACGTGATTTCCCCCTCTCCCAAATTTACAATAAAAAATTTTGTAAAAAATAAATTACATGATATTTTTAATGGAAATCTCTTTTCACCTTTTAACGAGCTACAAATTTAATTTTATTTTTCGCCAAACTTTCAACAAAAAAAAAAAACAGATTTTTAAAATATTTTATATATATAATTTTTAATAATTAAAAATGGTAGAAAATTACACCACTTGACTTGAATGGAAACTATCTTTCTTATCCTAGTGTTGTTGCTCATGTAAGGAAATCACACCTCTTTAATTTTTGTTTTTTGGTATCCTCATGAATCATTCATGAAAAAAAAATCAAAAGTTCGAAGTAGATAAACAAAAATAATAAACAATAAGAAATTAGTTCTTTAGAATAAATAGAAAATTTGTAATGTTATTGCTTGCTATTTTTATTTAAATTATTTTTCATTAAACTTAAATGCTCTTGAGTCAAGATCTAAAATACGGTGCTTAACAAGCAATATTTAAATGAATTAAAAAATACTTATTTCTCAGTTTATTAAATATAGCTGAAATTGCATTGAATGTAACAGTAAAAAAGTAAAATTTATTTATCATTGTTTTAAAAATTGCTGTAATTACATGGAATGTAATAGTTATAAATGCAACATTTATTTATAAATTTATTAAATATAGTTAGGATTGCATTGAATGTAACAGTAATAAATGAAACAGTAATTAATATAACATTAATTTAATAGTTTATTAAATATAGCTTGGATGATATTGAAAGTAACAGTAAAAAATTTAACATTTATTTATCAGTTTATTAAAGTTATAGCTGGGATATTGAAAGTAACAGTAATAAATATAACATTTATTTATCAGTTTATTAAATATAGCTGGGATATTGAAAGTAACAGTAATAAATGTAACATTTATAGTTAATAATATATGCAAACATTTATTTATCAGTTTATTAAATATAGCTGGGATTACATTGAATTAAGCAGTAAATAAATGCAACATTTATGTATCAGTTTATTAAATATACTGAACCTAATGCTACTTTGTAAAAAACAAATTACAGGAAACACGAAAAAAAATTCGTTTTGTCACAATTTTATTTCGTAATTTAGAAATGCAAATTATTTTCTTTAAAAAATTTTAAATACTGCATCATACTCTAAAGCTGCAATGAAATGTATTCTCTGGAAATTTATATTGCCTATTTACTTTCAGAATATAAATTGAATAAATATTTCATCTCCATTAGGAATTATTGGCAAATATTTCATTTCGAGCGATAACATAAATCATCAAGCTATTTGACGTCTAGGAAAATGTATTGCTTGAGTGATTTGCTTTTTGTCCCATTCTCAATTAATTTACTTAAATATTTAAAACTGACACAGTTAGATTCGCATTTTCAATCTAGCAATAAAAATTGCATATTCATAATAAAATTAAGTATAAGATCAAAAAATTTACATTGTATTTCTTAAATGATCCGTTCTTTTTATAATTTGAGATAAATAAGTTTTGACACGTTTTAAATTTCTAAGCTGAAATTAATTAACTTGGAATTTTAACTATTGTACCTTTAGAATTAAAGCAAGAATCGTACTTTTTTTTAACGATTTAATCATTGTGTATTGGATATCAAAGCTAAGCTTTTTTTCTTCTTTTTAGCTGTTGCAGTGTCATCGTCTTTGTAACATTAGAACTTAGAATTTTTTAATACTTGACAAGACAATACTTCAATCACTAAGTTTTTTCTTTTAAATCTTAATTTAGGAGCAAATTCGCTAATGTACAATGAAACAAAAACTGTTCCTTTAAAAATTTTCATTTTGTTTCTAATTTCTACCTTAATTATAATTGATGTTAGGTTGCAAGACATTTTATTACATCATACAATGCAAGTAAAAACCAATCAAAATGCACACCAACTGCTACCTATTAGAAGAACCGGAAAGTAATGTCGTTTCGGTGCGTTTGATATTTGCTATCAAGATTTTATTTTTAACCTATAATGTATTCCCCCTCGTTAACAACAACCTTTCAATGCCGGATCGAAAATGAATCGAAAAAAAAAACAATTAATTGGTCTTTAAGACTAACGAATATTTAATACACCGAAACGACATTCCTTTCCGGTCCCCTTAATACATTATATTTTTGGAACGAAATATATTTACAGCGAGATAAACGTTCGAAGGTTGGCGCAAAAAAATTAAAATTGCTTCAAAATATATTAAAATGAGCAGTTTTTTAGAAGAGATTAGCACAAGAAATTTTGCGGTGTTGCTAGAAAATAATTTTTGTTCAAATTTTATTATTTGGTATAAAATTTTACCACATTTACCAATTTTATCACCCATCAGAAAACCATGTTTTATTGTTCCATTCGAAAACATCATTATCAAAGTGGTAAAAATTATCTTGCTTTTTGGTGTTCCCATAGAGACAGAAACACGGTAAATTTTACCATATTTTGATACTTTTTACTATACATTTTTTCTCTGAGTATTGTAAAGTAGCTAATGCAGTAAAAAAAGGAAAATAATGACTTCTCGGACACTGGGAAGAGGAAAATTCCTTATAGGACATAGAAAATGAAATATAAAATTCTATTAGTTAAATTCTATTTTTTTTTTAAATATTCATTAGCGTATTTAGTGTCAAAGTATTCTAAATTTAATTCCTTTTAACCTCATTCCATAGTTTAAGAGAACACCATACCACGGAGGAAAATTTTCGCGGCATATTCTGTTTTTTCTTCATTACTAATTTAAAATTTCAAGTGCAGAAAAAGTGAGCTTACAAGGGAAACTAGGGAAGTGTGACTCGCCAATTTTGAAATAAACTAGTGGGATGTATGCCTTATGAGGAATAATTTTAGGGGGCAACATTCGCTTCGGCCCATAGAAGGTCCTGTGAGAGATAAAAATAATTCAATATATAGAAAAATCGGTATTTTATTACTTCAATGCAGACTATTAGTTAGTGTAATTGTCTCATAATCCAATTAATTAATTTGCTAATTAATAAATTAATCAGAAAATTAAGTATTAATTAATTAATTTTTGATTAATTATTTATTAATTAATTGATTTGCAATTACATACTCCAATTAATTTGGAAAGTTTCTTGAAAAAAATTTTTTTAAAAATTTGCTGTCAAATTTTTTTTTTTAAATTAGCCTAACAGGTTTTTCTGAAAAACTACAGATATATAAAATTTTCGAAATCAATTTTGACAATAAATATGCATTATACAGTACGTGAAAGTACCACAAGATTAATTGGAATATGAAACAATTACACTAACTAATAGTCTGCATTGAAGTAATAAAATACCGATTTTTCTATAAATTGAATTATTTTTTATCTCTCACAGGACCTTCCAAGGGCGGAAGCGAATGTTGCCCCCTAAAATTATTCCTCATAAGGCATACATCTCACTAGTTTATTTCAAAATTGGCGAGTCACACTTCCCTAATTTCCCTTGTTAGACAAATCTAGAGTAAGCCATGAAGTTTCAAATACTGAAAAGAAAATATTAAAATATACAAATGAAAATAAATTACGAGATGATAACTAAAGTTCATGCAACGGAGAAGCTCTCTTCTAATAATTTGTTTGCATTTTAATATTTTGAAGTATTTTTTTCAGCAACTTAAGCTTCATGACAGACTCCTGGTTTGCTCGAACTTACTTTTAAAATAGTAATGAAGGAGAAAGAGAATTTGAGGACGAAAATTTTCTTCCCCGTAAGGCGTCCTCTTAAGAAACGCAGTTTCATACTGTGGTGTAACAACCACTATAAATATTAAATACCAATTCACTAGTATATATGACATCTTAACTTTACTCTATCTAGAGGTGCCTTTTCAAAGATGAAGGTTGACATGGTCGATACCACAATAAGTTGGTAATTTGGTTGGTAGTTGACTGAAAATATTCTTGAGCATTTTATTCAACCAGCTATTAGCACGGGAATGAATATCCACTTACCGTATCCAGGCCAGACGTCGGTAATGTTGGTGCTCCAGGCATCCATATCGACATCTTCTCTGGTCAACCATACAATTGTTTCTTTCAATGTAGCGGGCAGAGGAAGCCTTCTTGCAAGGGGTCGGAATATGCAGCAATGGTAAGCGTAAGACAAAGCGAGGGTGTGGACTTTTGGGAAGTGTTCTGGAAGTGGAAATTCGCGAAGATTCCTGTTGTTGAACGTCTTCAGTTGCCTCAGATTCTGCAAACCCTCAGTGGGCAATACAGAGAACTTATTCTCACCTAAATTTCTGCGGAAAGATTAAAGATATAATGAATCAGAATTGTGGAAATAACAAAAGGTTAAATTGTTTGACGTAATTGCATATCATTTTCATAGTCTTTGAATTGCACTATGTAACAAATGTTAGATCAAATTGCATTAAAAAGTACTAAGACTCACTGAGCCAGTAATTTTTACCGTATATTTAATTTTTTTCCGGGACACGTTACAAAACATCTAATACACCGTAATTTTTAAAGTAATAATTACAGTAAAATCAAGGAATTACTGTAGTTAAATAAATATTATTATAAAATATACGGTATAATATTTCACGGTGGAAATGGATTTAACGCAAAAATTGATTTTACGGATGATGCACCCAAAGTACTCATACTTCATACCGCAATTTGTTCCCGAATATTTCACAGTGTAGTTCATATCTAAAATTAAATAAAAGAGTTTGTTCAACAATTAATTTCATTGGTTGTTATTAGTACTTACATTAAATACGTTATCCAATATATTTTAATGCCAAAAGATTTTCCTGATAAAAGTTTACAAAAATATTCAATGTGAAAAAATTCTAATTTAAATTGCTTTTAAAATGGATAAATCTTCTTCTTCTTTTTTTTTTTTAACCTGTTTTGCTTGGGTCAAACTAAAATAAAACCAAACAGTATTTTGCTGTTTAGAATTTTCATTGCATACAATTTCTTTGTAAGTATTCGAACTCAACTTTTTATTGGAGATTTTGTTTTCTTGTTTTACACAAATCAAGAAAAAATTATTTAGCCACAAAATTAAGAAAAAAATGGTATCGACTGTTAGCCTGTTATTAATCTACCTCCACGTGGCAATGGCTCGAAAACAGTTTGCTCAATCACAAATTAGAAACAAAAACCAAAATAAAAACGGTAGTTAACAGAAAAGAAGCAATGAGTGATATTGTGTTAGAAAATTATCTAATCAAAAAAGAATCTAGGAGAATTCACCAAAAATTGATCATGAACTTCTTGCTCAGATCTCACTTTAAACCTTTTTAATACTAATATAATGCTCAAAAAATATTTTATGTAATATTTACTCAAACCATGATGTAAAATATTCAAAGGTATCAGAAAATTACAAAAAATCTCATTTGTAAAAAATATTTTCGTGTCTTACAAGTTGTCTCTAAAAATTTACAATATTCTAGAATTATTTATGACTAACCGGAAAAAAAACGTCTAAGAATATTTTTATTAAAATCAAGCATTTGTCAAAAATTAAAAAAAAGGAAACAAATGTACTTTAAAATTGCTAAAAAAATTATTTTTTCTTTCGACATTTTATAAAAACAATGCGAAAACATTTAGATTAAGTAAACTAAAAATACTTACAGGTCTCTTAACTTTGATAAGTTCATGAATGCGTTTTCATGTATGTTTTCAATTTGATTGTGCATCATATCTCTATAATAAAGTAAAGTAAAATGTAATCACTGAACTTAAATAAGAAATATACAATGAATATTTCAGAGACAATAATACAATACATAATAAATCAATAAAATTACGAAAAATAAATTGACGCCCACCGAACTAACATAACGCTGCGTATGCAAAGTATTTTGTAAAATATTTATTTAGCATTCATTCATATATAATAGATATTATTTTTTCTTAAAATGAGTAGTGACCAACAGATAGCCAACATTTTACCAACAGATTAGTGGAAGGGCGGAGAAATTTTTAACTATCTTCATTTAGAGACATGCACAATTATCTTCAGCCGATGCAATGGGCAAAAATTGTGAAAAATGCAAAATTATCTTCTGCCGATGCAATGGGCAAAAATTGTGAAAAATGTAAAATTATCTTCTGCCGATGAAATGGCAAAAATTGTGAAAAATGCAAAATTATCTTCTGCCGATGAAATGGGAAAAAATTGTGAAAAATGCAAAATTTTCTTCTGCCGATGCAATGGGCAAAAATTGTGTAAAATGCAAAATTATCTTCTGTCGATGCAATGGGCAAAAATTGTGTAAAATGCAAAATTATCTACTGCCGATGCTATGGGCAAAAATAGTAAAAAATACAAAATTGTCTTCTGCTGATGCAATGGACAAAAATTGTGAAAAATGCAAAATTATCTTCTGCCGATGAAATGGGCAAAAATTGTGAAAAATGCAAAATTATCTTCTGTCGATGCAATGGGCAAAAATTGTGTAAAATGCAAAATTATCTACTGCCGATGCTATGGGCAAAAATAGTAAAAAATACAAAATTGTTTTCTGCTGATGCAATGGACAAAAATTGTGAAAAATGCAAAATTATCTTCTGCCGATGAAATGGGCAAAAATTGTGAAAAATGCAAAATTTTCTTCTGCCGATGCAATGGGCAAAAATTTTGAAAAATGCAAAATTATCTTCTGTCGATGCAATAGGCGAAAATTGTGAAAAATGCAAAATTATCTTCTGCCGATGAAATGGGCAAAAATTTTGAAAAATGCAAAATTATCTTCTGTCGATGCAAAAGACAAAAATTGTGAAAAATACAAAATTATCTTCTGCTGATGCAATGGACAAAAATTTTGAAAAATGCAAAATTATCTTCTGCCGATGAAATGGGCAAAAATTGTGAAAAATGCTTAAAATTTTAAATATATACACAGACAGAACTTGCTGATCGGCTTGCAAAAGCACTGAAAAATTAATATTTCTTAACAAGAATATCTGTATAAAATTTTCGAATTATAACTTAATACCTTTCGCCGACTAAATAGCCTCAACTTAGGATTGGCCGGTTGAAACGACGGAATTGAATCTCCTGAATTGATATCCTCTGTCGCCCTAATGAATCAATCCAAAAACAGTATTAAGGAGAGAGGTCTCCTATTGCTCATCATATAAACTCAAAACAGTATCACGTGGAGATGTTTCCTATTATTTGGCATGCAAACTCAAAACAGTATTACCGAGAGAGGTCTCCTATTGCTCAGCATACAAACTCAAAACAGTATTATAGAGAGAGGTTTCCTATTGCTTGGAATACAAACTCAAAACAGTATTACGGAGAGAGGCCTCCTATATTTTGGCATGCAAACTTAAAACAGTATCACGGGGAGATGTTTCCGATCGCTTGACATACAAACTCAAGATAGTACAGAACTCAAAAAACTAATTTTCTCAAACTTTAAAACGAATCTATAACAATTTAGAGAAGTACAATATTATATCATGCATATTTTTCTTACCTTAGCTTATTACATTTATGAAGTAAATATAAGTATTAAAATATAATCCAAATATGCTTTTTCAAAAGACTGTTTTTGAAAAATATATAAGAGCACATATAGTATAAACAACAATAATAAAAAAAATGACAACAAGACATAATATAAGAAAATAAATATAAGAAAAATATCTACTTACAAGACTTGCAGGTTTTCTAATCCCAAGAATGCCTCTTCTGGAATGTAAGTGATGAAATTGAAACTAATGAAGAGATCTATTAATTTGTTTTGAAACTGAAATGGTGAATTATCGATGGATGCAATCTCATTGTAACTGAAATCTCTGAAAATAGAACAACGTCAATGGAATGAGTTTAAGAAAATATATAAATATTAGACTGTAGAAGTATTCACATTTATATTCCATTAAACACTAATGCATATAATGTCACGAAAACCGATCAAATTTTGTTTCTCGCATTGGAAACGAAAACTGAAATAACCTGAGCTGTAACTTATAATACAAAAAGGAGAATTTAAAAATAAGCAATTCACATAAGTGAACAAAGTGTTCTACAGTCGTTTTTTTAATTATGTTAATTTATTTAATCTGGTAACAAAATGCACTGCTGTAAGAAATTAAGAGAATTTGTAGGCTTGGTCGATTATCTCTAGGACTACTGGACCGATTTTAATGAAATTTGATATGTACATACATTGATACAATACAAAACAAATTACCATTCAATAATTGTAAAACACTCACATGATCGTGCGTAACACTCTTAGGAGTAGGGAAGCATGAAACAGCGGTCACAGAATAAACAATAAAAAAGGCATAATAGAGGGTATGGTCCCCTCTTACAGATATACAGGTCTTGCAGCATAATTTAAAACTTGAAATAAGGCAGTTTACCATTTCCTGTGGCAATTGGCTTGAATTGTCTTGCGACAATTTCACACCTTTGGACTCCAACGAGTGTTGCGCACGATTACCCGTGTGTATTACAATTGTTGAATGGCTATTTGTTTTGTATTCTATCAATTCATGTACACATCAAATTCCTTTAAAAATCGGTCCAGTAGTTCTAGAGATAATCGACCAAGTCTGCAAACTCTCTTAATTTCTAACACCAGTGTAGTTTAGAACTAAATTGTAGTTTCATGATGCTGCATAATTAACGTAAGAGATATTTGCTTTTTATTAATGAAATTCACAAAAATACGTTGATTCCATCAAATTCTTTTTTTTTTAACTTGATAAACTATATCCATTTTTACCTGCTTTGTTACGATGCGTATCCAAGATACAACATTCTACTCTTAATTATCAAAAATAAAGATTCTTTTGATCACGATTTTTCAAGCTGTATTATCCAATCATTGCAAATAAGGGACGCACACTTATTTAAGTAAATTAGAAAAGTACAGCCACTATACAAGGTCTCATTTTGGCTACCACTATACAAAGCTTTCTAACTCTCCCTGAACCGAGTTTACAAATATGGTGGTTAGAGCATCTACTACGAAACCGGAGATCCGTGGTTCAAATCCTGCAGGCAGCCAATGATCATCTCACTCACGCAATTGTTTCTTCGCATGCATTTTGCTCAAAAATGAGTATACACTGTTTCAATTTGAATGAACGGGGTTTTCAAATTCGACTATTAATTGTTTTGGAGCTATTTTGACATATTTTTTGCTCAATTTTGACGCAGTCTTTTTTACAATGTCGTGGTTGAATGTACAAAATCATATTGCATCTTGAATCATTTTTTTTTCTCGCTAATTTATTTTCTAAAGTGCAGGGAAGATTTCATTAACAAAAAAATCTTATCAATTCGCAAAGGTTTAACCTATTTTCGGCGAACTATTAAAGTATTTTAAATTATTACTTACTGCATAAAAGAATTAAAAGTTAAAGTTGGTCCAAAGTGCAACACACTTCCTGATGTTTAAGAAGAAAAAAAAAGAACAAAACTATAATTTTCTTACATTTGTCGAAGTTCTCGGCATTCCTGAAGATCTGGAATCTTATTTATTTTATTAGAACGAAGAATCCTGAAAAAAAAAATTATTGAGTATAAGTGTTTTTTTTTACTACAATAAAATCCATAACTTGACTACAAATGCTTGATATTAATATTGCTTGCTACAATGCGTAGTATTTAGTACAATTCGTAAGAAAAGGTATCAGACTGAATAACTTTTTTTCTACTAATGGGATTTTTAAGAACTTAATGATTCGAAGAAGAACCTCAAGTACATTAATTAAGTTGTCTTTTTAAGTTATGAAAGCAAACATAAAAACGTAGTATGTAAATAAATTATTTCTAACTTGGAATGACCTTTGATTAAACGAATTATTTAATTGTGTGCCAACATTTTCTGATTTGATTAAAAACTTTCCAAGTTAAGGCAAAAATAAAAATAAAGCATAAGAGCTTAAACTTTTGTCTCTTTTTCTGACTAATACTTTTCAGATTGCCATATTTCCAATTGCCATTGAATTATTAGAATCATATTTTCTAGATTGTGGCTATTCCCATATTTTGATAACAAAAGAATCCAAATCCGTTGAGAATAACAGGTATGTTTATTTACAGAAAGTTTTTATATCTAATTCCGTAACTTAATTCATAGTTAGCATTATGTAATTAGTATGTTTGAGGCCTCCTTTATGAAGCTTTAAAATTGGCACTTAGTTAGTGGAAATTCAATCATTACATAGAACAAAAGTTATTCAAGGTGATATATTTTAATGGCACTGAATATTTTATTTAAGTAAAATAACTTTTAATGCTCTTATTAAAAGATAAAATTTCCTCATATACGTTGATCTCAACTTTTTATCTCTTATGTTGTAGATTTTCTCATTATGTTATGTATTTCCGTACATAAATTTAATCACATTCTAAGTAGAACACAAAGCTTTAGTAATAGTTTAATTTAAAAAAAAATATTAATTAAAAAAATTCATTAATTAAAAGAAATTACTTATCAAAAAAGTTTATTAATTAAAAAATATCTTAAATTTCTAGTTAAAAGCTCATTGAAGTTTATTAGTTTGTTTTATTAATTAAGAAAAGTTATGACAATGAATAATTAAAAGTAAAAATAGGAAATTTTTTTTTAACAAATAAGCGGAAAATACGAAAATTATAAATGTGTGAAATCGAGGTACTCTAAGTCAGTGCCTCCCAAATTTTTCATCGCCGCGGACCTGTCAACGTTTAATAATTTTTCCGTTGATTGTTTATATTTCAGATGGTTTTGATTTAATAATTTTAATGTATTTGTATTTAAACATGCTATAAGAACAAAATACAATTACATTCGCGGTATTGGCGAGGTCTTTAGGTGACGTCTGTCGGCTCCAAGTTAACTTCTCGTCCATAGAAAGGCGCACAAATCCGAGAGAAATACGCCACCATAAATAAAATGGAAATAATTTCCTATTTTTTTGAGCTGCCCGGTATTATTTGATTTATGTCACGGTACTGGTTCACCAACCACAGGTTAGGGACCACTGCTCCAAGCAATAGTTATTACAATTTACAGTAAAAAAAAATTCTAAACAATAATAAAATATAAACAACGCAATATTTTAAAAATTACTTTCATCTAAATTATAATACAAGCAATAATGAATTGAATTTTTTTCTTCATATTTGTGAAATTATAATAAAATGCGAGTAAAGCAGGAGAGTAAAGCACTAAATGGTATTTTATAAAAAGTACGATTTCAACAGTTTATAAGTTCTTACGGCATTTCACAATTAAATATTTGTAAATAGAAAAATGTACTTTTATTAAAAATGTAACAGAAAAGTCTCAAAATGCAAACAAGAAACGATTTCCATTGAAAAAAGGCTCTTTTGATTAAAAGTTGAGATGTCTTTTCATTAATTTAATAAAGTTAACTTCTCGTTCATAGAAAGGCGCACAAATCCGAGAGAAATACGCCACCATAAATAAAATGGAAATAATTTCCTATTTTTTTGAGCTGCCCGGTATTATTTGATTTATGTCACGGTACTGGTTCACCAACCACAGGTTAGGGACCACTGCTCCAAGCAATAGTTATTACAATTTACAGTAAAAAAAAATTCTAAACAATAATAAAATATAAACAACGCAATATTTTAAAAATTACTTTCATCTAAATTATAATACAAGCAATAATGAATTGAATTTTTTTCTTCATATTTGTGAAATTATAATAAAATGCGAGTAAAGCAGGAGAGTAAAGCACTAAATGGTATTTTATAAAAAGTACGATTTCAACAGTTTATAAGTTCTTACGGCATTTCACAATTAAATATTTGTAAATAGAAAAATGTACTTTTATTAAAAATGTAACAGAAAAGTCTCAAAATGCAAACAAGAAACGATTTCCATTGAAAAAAAGGCTCTTTTGATTAAAAGTTGAGATGTTTTTTCATTCATTTATAAATGTCGAAGTACAGGATTATGCGTGAAACAATATATCAAATAATGTTAAGGTCGCTTTGCCGTCACACATTGCTGTCAAAACACTTTATGAATAACTTAACGTCATCCTTTACAGCGTGGATGATCGTAGGCTTGTTGGTGTAAGCCTTATATTTTAAAACCTCAAAGAAAATATTTTAACAGAATAAAATCGTATGTTTTTTTGAAAACCATTTTTGATCTCCAAAATCACGAGTTACACAACTAGGAAATGACACAACGTTCAAAATATTGCGCAACAATGAAACACACTTTTTTTTGAAGTGATTAACAACCATGGAACTATCAGCCTTCACTTTATCTTATAGTTCAAATGAAGCCAAATTCAAATTTTGCCTGAATTGCGGCCCTTTTTATGTATAAAAAAAGCTGGAGATCCTTGTGAAATTAAGAAAAATAAAGAAAGTAAATTCTATGATGAAAAAAGATTAAATACTTTTATAATGTGAACTATTTATTAAGTATTTTTTCATTAATTTAAATACTTACAATCTTCGCAAAAAAGGAACTTTCTTGCATAAATCATGGGGTATGTGCTTTAGGTTAGCCCGGTCAAGGGTTAATAATTCAAGTGCTCCTGTACCTGTTAGATCGGGAAACTGTTCCATCTGCCTTGCTTCCGAAACTCGCCTACAGACATGAAAGTTAAAATATAAAATAATAAAATATATTTAAAAAGAAAGTATAAATAAAGTCACAAGCACACACATGCTACAGTTTCAGTTCTATAACCACAAACTTTGCTTAGTACTGAAAAAAACATAGAAGAAGATATGTGTTTCGATTATTCTCCCTCTGTGTTTTAACACTGAGGAGGGTTCTTGATAATAGAACCGAAACTATAGTATTGCGTATGACTTTTTTATGCTTTAAAGTTGCCCAGCTTTATTTTAATATGCACCATCAAGTATTATCTTTCTTAATTTAAGATAGAGAACTTCAGCTAAAAGAAATTACGGAATTAAGTATATTACTTTTAAAAAAGAATGATACTAATGAATATTTTTCATTAGTTCACTTTTTTTTATCAGTAACACTCATTTACTTATATGCATCATAATAATTTAACAAATATACAGTGAAACCTCTCGGTAAGGGCCACCTGTCCTTCCATTGAAAATTGGCCCTTATGGGGGGTGGCCCTTAAATGGGGGTGACCAAAAAATAAAATGAGGAAATCAAAATTTATGTAGAAAAAAACTGTTTATTAACATTTTAAGTTTTTATACATGTTTAAAAAATGTTCAATTGAAGTTTGTTTACTTTTTAAAATTTTTTCGCAAACAATTTTAGTTTCTAATGATTCCTTAACTCTATAAAACAAATTAGTTAAATTCGCATCATTTATTAATGCCTTGGATTGGGATATCAGTTTATTTACTTCTATTAGCGTTTCTTGGTTTGATAAATATGGCACGGGGACTCATGGGACGGGGGAAAAATAGCCTTTATTGGAGGTAGTCAGGAAAATGTGGCCCTCTAATGGGAGGAAAATTAACATTATGCCTATGGGGAAAATTTTCGTTCCTCAAAATATTGGCCCTTAATAGAGGTGGCCCTTAAGTAGAGGTGACCTTTAGGCGAAGTTTCACTGTAGTTCGATTGATAACACTGGGAAAATTTTTTTTCGTTTTCTGCTGCATGAGATTTTTTAACAGATATTAAATACTTAAAAAGTGGAGTACTTCGATATTTCGGGGCATGAGTTCCAATGAATTTTAATCCTGGTAATATACCTTAAATTACCTGTTATATATAGCGTTTTTAATCTTGTACATTTCAACTTCAAAAAAAAAAACTGTAGCTTTAGGAGCAAAATTTATTTCTGATTTGAATCTCCACAACAGAATCAGGCAAGATCGAGTAATTGTATAAATGAAACAAAACATTTGTTCTCCAGTGTAATCTTTAGGTTAAAACGTCGAAAAAACGATCTTATTGGCTATTCTTTAGACCTAATCACAGTAATCCATCTTTTAGGAAGATTTTAATGACTAATATGAAAGGCAGAATTTTGAATTTGAAGAATTATGCTCAAAGCTGCGATGAACTTCGCTGAATAATTGCAATCTCTGTGAAACAATTTATGTTTGGAGCAGAATTATTTATACCGAATCATAGCCAAATAATCCATATCCGTGTTGCGAAATGCAGTTAATAAATATTTATATTTATACAGGCATTATACATAATTTATCATGTAACTAATGAAGGCTCCTTATTTCACAAATTTCGGTTGCAAAATAAAATTATTTGTTTTTAAAAAAATATGCAAATTTAACGAGTGAGATTTGTTAGTTTAGTTCTGACGATACACGAAGAACAATTGCAACTGTGAAAGTCTTGCAGAAAAAAAAAGACATGATTCTGCTTCCATGATTTTGAAAACATAAAACAGAATGAAAAAAAAAACATTATGTTAAAAATAGGTAACAGTTATGGAAAAAATCGTAAAGCTGATTGCAATAATAATTAAGAAATTTTTTTTGAGGACTTACAATTTCTTAAGGCTAGGTAAATTGGAAAAAGTTCCACTTCCCACTTTGGTGATTGGATTTCCACCCATTTCCAATAAGGTAAGCTTCGGATTCTTTCGAAAAGCTGAATCTGATAGTTCCGTGATGGCATTATCAGAAAAAACACTGAAAGAAAAATTCATTAATAAAATAAATATTTTGTTACGCGGTTGTTTTAAGAATTGTTTGCACGCTGTAGTTAGCGATACAAAATCATTTCTACTATTAAATAAATAACAGCATTGGCGTTGAAATACTTCATTTAGTATCACGATATGTGGAATAATTGTAACAGATGATACAATATCATATTTGCTTTAAAATAAATAATCGTTTAGATCTTGGAAAATTTAATCAGTATCGCAATTGGAGGTGCAATTGCAACAATTATAGAGCTATAGCGATGGAAAAGCATATTTGCTATATAACCAATAAAATAAATAACAGTTTTGGCTTTGGCTTATATTATCGCTATCGCAATCGGAAGTACAATCGTAACATGTATGCTTTCAGGATAATATGAAATAGAAGCGAAAAAAAGAAAGAAAAATAATCACATAAACAGTGGGGCATTTTGGAAAAAATTTATTGACTCTTTTAATTCATGAATTTTTAATATTACCTTAATTTTTATTAAGAACTTCTGGAGGATTAAAAAAAAACAGCTTGATAAAAACAAATATTTAGAGAAAAATTATTTTTTGACCACACAAGACTGTAATTTTTATCTGGAAATACTTGATAAAAAGTGCAGTTTTGATTCAAAAACAATCTTCGTCTGTGATCTCTAACAACATTTTGGACTAACTTATTTATGCTTGGAAAAGATTTAATTCTGGAATAAATCTAAAATATATGTCACAGAAAATAAAAAATCCTCGATGGGCAATGAAATGGTGTCAAAACTGAAAACAAATTATAATTATTAAAAAAATCATAATAAAATTAAAAACAAATGTTATTATAAATTCATCTACCATTAATATATCTTGTTAAGAAGTTAGAAAACGTTCAGAACACAGTTAGACATCATAAAGAAAACCTAAATTCCTTATTTTGATAAATAACTTTGCTCTAATCTTTTTAAACAATGAACAACTGTAAAAACAGATATCGAAACTTTTTTATGCTTCTGTTTTTAAGAATTATTACGATCAATACTTTGTAGCCAACTACTGCTCCGGAAAAAAAACTGGTTTCTTTTGTGTTGTAATTTATGATAAAATTTTGCATGAATCATTAATAACATGAGTTTTTATTCATATTTTAAAGTTATCGTCTGCATAAAATAAGGAATATAAAAGATAAGCTCACGCTGGGGACGATAAATTAACTGCCATCTTCCTTTTTTTAATCGCGGTGTGACATTATTTATTGGTTCAATGGAGTTAGAATTTTAAGTGGTTAGTCAATAGGTGAACTTAACGAACTAAAACAGCATATAAGAAAAGTTAAAATAGTTAAAAAAATTGTTTTCTTGAAATTTCGAGAATTATATTATAATTTCTATTTTCATTATAGGAATAAATTCCATTTATATTTTTACGATGTTCTATAATTTTTTTTTCAAGCAAAAGGGAAAAAAAGTCATATTCTTTATTGAAAAAAAAAAAAACTCATACAGAAAAGTATTCAAATCTCAGAATTTTTATTTTAATGTTCAAACTTTTCGTCAAAAACTGTTTAGTAAAAAGGGTATCTCTCTCCAAAACGTGCTGCTCTAACATGGTATAAAATGCTCAGCAAAACGATAAAACAATCTCACTTGATCGAAGGATATTAATCCTGCTTAACAAAAAATTGATAGGATATTTTTCTTTTGATAAAAAGGACATAAATAATGTCCACTTCAATAATATAAAGATATCTTTCTCGGTTAATAAAGAGGTAAGAAAAGTGTGAAATAAAAATAGACTTTTATTTTAAAAAAAAACAGCGAATTTTTTTAATAACCGTCGTTGAACAGCCGACTCAATTTTTGGGTTTACGACTGTTAATGTTCAACTCCGTGGCCTTGCAATTTTGGACCCAATCCAGAAGACAAGGGAACTCCTGGATCAAGTATTGGGAGAAATTTGCCTTCGTTGAGGACTTTTCGATGGAACTAATCCGCATTTGAGTTACATGGAGAGGAAGACCACGAGAACCTCCCACGTTTAGCCTGACCTAACCCAAGATCCATCTACCACTGAGGATATTTCACGTCAGCAGTGTGGTCGATGCAAGCTGTATGCGGAATTCACATCGACCACCCAACGCCGGTATCGAACCCTGGTTCACCTCATTGGAAGGAGAACGCTCTATCCCCTGAGCCATTGCGGCTCAAACAATGAATTCGTATATGTGATAATTTGTGGGGCCAATAACACCATATACGGCTAAGTAATTGGACAGGATGGCATCGGAATTAAGGAACTTTGAAGCTCAGTTTTTGATTCAGTTCAGATAGCAATTATTTCATTTTGAGATATTTTTGCAGGATTAGCTTTAATTACATTGTAGGAGTTTAAATGCGACTGTTCTTGTTATTAATTGTTGATGCAATTCCTGATTCCAAATCTTTGCAAAAATCCTAATCTTACGGTTTTTCAAATATATTTTTTGAAATCCATATTTGTGATCATAGAAACTAGGATATTTTGAACACACACAAATATCAGGAATGTGAGGTCGAAAAGCTAAAAACCAGAGCAAATATTTTTTATCATGAATATCGGGATAACTAAGCACTTGCAAAGTGCTCGCGAGTCCCTTTACAGCTCCATCTGATAGAAAAATACGATGTACGGAATTAACGATCCTATCCTGAAAACGGAACTGGAAGGGAAAGAAATTGAAAAACGAAGTTGATGAGTATCTTCGATTTAGTAGTAAACGTCTCTTGTGGGCAATAAAGCTACGAGCAAAACGCTTAAAGCCCGCATTTGTTTGTTCGTGATCTCTTTTATCTGTGACCTGAAGGAACGATTTTAGAATGAAAACAAAGTTATCAGAGGATAACTTTACTTTCGATACTCAAAGATTAAGAGAAGTTATCAACGGTATCTTACACGAGACCGAACCTGAACAAATAAACATTTTGTTTCGTTCCTAACAGTAATAGTGAGATCCTTAGCAAGCAAATTAACTTGGGAACTCAATGGGCCAATATTGGCTCAACAAGATTCTAAAGGGCCATTATTTTGCCAAAATAGAACTGATATAGAAATTTCCGAGTCACCCGATATTCACTATTCAGCTGATGTTTACCCTATATAAAATTGTCAAATTTACCCGGTATTTTATTGTGCTTATTTACCCAAAATCGGCCCTATACAGATTTGCTAAGTTCACCCGATATTTTAAAGTCATTGTTCAGCCTATATCGGTTCGATATAGAAGAGTCAGACTCAACCGATGTTTTATAGCCGTTATTTAGCCAATATAAACCCTACATAAAATTGTCCGATTATCCCGATATTTAATAGCTGTTATGTACTTATCCAATATAGACCATAGATAAAATTGTACGACTCACCAGATATTTTAAATCCGCTGTATAGTCCGTATGGGCCCTGTATCGAATAGTTCGATTCATCCATTATTTTTTAGTTGTTATTCAGCCAATATAGACCCTACTTAATATTGTCCGATTAAACCGATATTTTATAGCCGCTACTCAACAAATATGGGCCATATATTCGATATTCGATTCACCTGATATTTTAAAGTCATTATTCAGCCATATGGTGTCTTTTCGAACAGAATCGATAATGTTCAATAACTTAGTTCATTTCTCCCCTATCTAGACTGTTTTTGAAATAGGAACACTAACTCCTCATTTTTTTACTAGGTAGAATTGTAATCGATTGCTTCTTGCCACACATAGCCATTTTGCAATACCTAAACGCCTCTGTTAAGCCTGTAACTGCAAAGGTCAGGAAGCTAAGAAGGCGAAGATTCGTAATTTAAGGAGTACAGTGGGTGATCGGTTAACGAACTGATCGGTCAACGAACAAATCGGTTAACGAACACTTTCACGAAAGATTTTTGTGTTCGGATAACGAACACCTATTCGGATAACGAACACTTTCAAGAAAAAAAAAATTTGACTTCGGACAACGAACACATATTCGGATAATGAACAAAACGAATTCTAACGAATACTTCTCGGCCTGAAAAAAAAATAATATTAAACATTTGTTATAATTTTGCATACAAAATAAGATCAATACACACTTGAATACTTCAATTTCAGTATGAATATCAATATTTTCTGACAGCTAATAAGTTATGGGCGAGTGGATTTGCTGACATGGCGAATAAATTAAGCGAATTCTTAATTTTTTCGAACAGTGCAGACTATAAAATATAAAGGTGCCAATGACACGCTACCACCGTAAAAATACGTGAAATATGAGAAACGGACTAAAAATCGTTTTTCATCTCTCTTGAATTATGTTGCTTACCTATTAATTTTC